AGCTCCAAGCTGAATGCAAACAGAAATAGCATTCATAATTATATTCGCAACTGTACAGTGCAGGTCCATGGTGCAGGTAAGACGTGGAATTACCGATGACTCATACATCTAATCATGCAGTGTTCGCTCTTACACGACTAGTCTTCAGCGCAAACCTTGGAAGACATGGAGAACGCCTCGGCCTGTACGACATTGGAACATGAACATGATTGATATATCCCTGAATAAAACGAGACAACCAGATGCAATTTACCTCTTTCAATTAATTAATGCACTACGTTGACAACCACATGCAAGATGAGAGGCATCTATATGAGTATTTTTTACAGCTACATTCATCTGACTATGAATTGTGATGGTAATGTTGCAGTATTCATACGATTACTAAACTTTTAATGGTTGATATGATGCTCCAGTTGTGTTTTATTTGGGATGATAATGTTCTTTTTGACAATATAAGGAACATGAAGGATTATCGCTTTAATTGATTACATGGTCCTTAAATATGCCCAGTTGTTAAGTTTTGTTATTTGAATAATAGTCTTACATGTAGTTAAGCAGGGGGGGGGGGGGGGTCAACTGTGCATGCATCGAAAACTCAGTTCAATAAGCCATAATCATAACGGATAACTGCTGTGCATGAAATGACAAATATCACCTGCTGCGAATGGAGCAAATCACAGATATTAATCAGGCATGACATGATGAACATTTCACAAAAGTCTTTCAAAACCTGAAGATTATAACTGTGCTCATCCCTTTGCCGGTGCGAGTGAAGTGGACAATTTGTGGTTTCCATGACTAATAGCCGTCATGTCAGACAGGCCTCTAGCTTCCTGCATGCCTGGTGTGTACATTAGATCTAGAGGTAGTTACAAACGTGCATGCCCTGGTCGAACAGGACATCGTAACAAAATATTTCAAAAATAACCGAACAATAATAACAAATCAAATTAAAGTTATATGATTTTATGACAGAATACGTCTCTTAGTCAGAATTTTCCGTGCAATTAACTGTGGATATTTTCTAGAATTCATTTTTTGTCTTATAGTACTCAAAACCGTTGCGCTCTCATTGATGTTTAAAAAAAAAAGATAACTATGCGCATTATACATAACTACTATATTACCATGAACACGATTGCATTTAAGTATCTGTCAGCGAATACTAAAAGAGGATTAACCAGAATTATGAGATTCTACGTTGATTTTAAATATTTACATAGCTTGCATGTTATTTTTTATTTCATTTGTGTTAGCATGTCAGTAAAATCTTCAATTTGTTAGTATTAGATCGAATTGTCGTCATTAATCGCCTTATACTTAACACGTTAGGTATGTTGTGAGTCTGTGACACAATCCAAGGGTGTCATGGAGCGTGTAGTGTTTGGAAACTCTTTCTTTCACACCAAAGATAAGAAGGGATAATGATTTTCTTAGCCATATATTTTGAGGAAGATTTGTTACGCTTGGAAACGATTGTCTGCTTTGAGATGAAGCAGCTATCAAGACAGACAGGAAAGAGAAATCTTCCTCGGTGAGGCCATGGTGGATTCCGGGATGGATTTAGAAATCCTAAGCTTTGCTCATCATGTATAGAGGTGAATGGACGCTAAGGCAACCTTTACTTTAACTCTATAGTGCGATTTCCTCTCATTGAGATGACGAATTACTTCTTGAGTACATAATTCATTGACTTAGGTACATGAAACATCTGCTGAATATAAGTCATATAGTAAATACAGTACATGGACCATATCCTAACGTACTCTATAAGACATGCCCTATCTCGAAGCAAACCCTGTGATACTTAAAACCAGTCTTCTAATCTCACTATAACCATGATAACCCCTACCTTCTGTATCGCGTGTTTTCTTCTTTGATCATCGTTAAATCATCAGTCTGCAACGGTCTACCTAAATCTCGATTCATAAATATTTATCGTTTTTAGAATGTTCTGTCTTATTCATAATTATGAGTAAATCTTAGTTTTGATAAAATCAAGTGTTTGTCGCTTTGTCCAGCTATACACAGTTTGGCGTATATAACAAATAATAATATACTATACAACTGTAATTAGAACCAATATTCAACGTAATGAAAATCAGTTATCAAAACATTAAAGTGCTTGGAGTGAAAAAGTACCGTTCTGAAAAGGGAATTTGTTGTTTAGGAAACGATACGACAAATAGAAATTTCTTGATGTCGTGTTTTGTTTATGTAGAAAGAAACAGCAATAAAAATTATTTTAAAACAAATCTGATTTACACTTGCACACAACACGAAAATAGGTTCATGTGTGTAATTTGGATTTCGGATTTGAGCTTGTATAAAGTCGGAACTTCTCGTGAAATATCTTTCCCGATCTCTTTCCAATATTGTCAAATTGTTAACATGTTTTAATGGAAAGAAACAAAAACTTCCCTAAATAGTATTATCAGGATCATCACATCGAAATGATTTTTTTTTTTAATCGAAGCCAAGACTGTTACGAGAACTTCATGGGCATGATTGAAAACTATCCATTATGTCTTTAACCTCAATTCTCAATACATGCACCAAAATATGCTACAAACCTAAGAATTTACAGGAGCACATTGGCATCGTGGTAAATGCTCTTGACTTTTACAAGAGATGTCCTTGATTCGATTCCATGCTTAAACAACTGAACACGGTGTTTTTTTTCTCCATATTTGCCCCTCTCGACCCATGGTGATTTAAATGGATACAGCCACGCAATGTTGGGGGTCATAACGATTGCAAGGCCTCAGGAAGAGCAGTCTCAATACTGGTGAGGCTACACTTGGTAATGACACCATAATATTATCATGAATAATAATGAAAAATGTGTTTTAACCGGTGTGTTTTAACAATTTATTCCAGTTTTGATAAGGTACATAATTAGGTTACAGGCCCATTGCCTTAGCGGTATCCAAATATTTATGAAACGACAGTCCTTCAGAAAATCCGCCCTTTTATTTTGCGTCTGAGCGAGGATGTAACTTTCTTTCATAGCCCGTGAATGATCGAGAATAATATTTGGCAAGATAGAAGATGATGAAGACATGTTCTTAGTAGTGTTGTCACGAGACATCAGCTGTATCTTCCTACCATTAGCCGAAGTTTGGACCAAACATTGCCAAGTTAAAGATAAAGTTGAGTTCTGGTCATGCGATTGCATTGTGAAAAAGACGGTATGGAATCGATCAGAAATAGTTGATCATGTAGCATATACGTATTGGTGTAGTGCAAGGTTCTGGAATCATCAAAATGATAAAAAAATTGGCCCAGTCTTGGTGAAGTACTAACATGAGTCATAAAAATGAGGGCCTCATTTTTAAGCTGTTATACTTGTCATATTTAGAATATGAAGGAATTTGAAGAGCCATGCTTTTGAGGGAACATTTTACTCTGATGTTCTTCCACACTTGCATAATAACAATGATAACTCTCACAACATTATCTTTCACCTCTCCCCAGAACTCAACCTTCTCTGTAATCACAAGGCCTACAAGGCGTGAGTATATGATTGTTTTGTTCGGAAGTAAATAATTGACTTTCTATATTACGAGGGTCTACGTGTAAGACGTGTGGTAGATGTGATCTACTTCACCCTTATGTTTACATTGATCTAAAAGTTTCTTTGGAGATCAAACTTAAATCGCTCCAATATCACAGGCAGAACGTGCCAAGACGATCTAATAAAACCTCCCAGGCCTGCCATAAGGTGACCTTACTACTAATAATCACATCACGTTTACTTTACCTATCTCACTTTATCGTTCTTAAACTTCTTATCTCATTTCTCAAAATAAATCTCCCAGGCCATGAACACAAATCGTTCTGTATATTGTGTCACATTAGTTTATGAAAAATCTTCAGTAGGCGTTTGTCTAAGCTGGTTAAACTGTGTATTAAAATGATCCTTACACTTAGATCTCCGTCGCTACTGCTCGTTTCCATACAGGAAGCTTGCTTGCTTGCTCTTTACCAAATTGGAAAGGGTTGTGCTAGTCCACATTGAGTGTCGAGATAATGAATTCGTTGAGGTTGTTTGTTTGGCACGCATGGGTCTCTTTTAGAGTATTTTTCTTTGTAAGAGTGAGGTGAAGAGAACTGAAATGGAACGACGGAGGGATTGGTGTGCATAGGGACAAAACGAGAAGAATATGGTGTAATACGCAATCCATCTATAACACACCGCACCCCAATGGGTCTCGGGTATGCACTGTGTAAATGGCCCAGTTAATGCTATATCAAAGAGACAATCGTCGACTTTTTTTTATCATTATCCCTCCATATTTGGTTTCAAATGCATTAAACCCGTAAGTTTCGTGCCATGCATACACACTAACTTGTGGAGAGAAGTGAAGTGCACTGAAATTACTTTCCTTGTGTGAAATACTGTAACAACATAGAATATCTTCATGGTTACTTTCCCAAGTCGATAACGAACGTTTTACTGAGAGAATCTTTTTGGTGCCTAGCAGATTTTCCACTCCGTAGAAAGTGTAGAGGAAGCTGCCCCATGGCCATGTTTCTTCTTTTTCGTCTACACCCACCCACATACAAAGTATCAAAAGGCCTAAAATAGTTTAGGTCAGGTAAGTAAAAGCTGTTGATCCTCTTATCACTGTAAACATGTCATTCCAGTTATTGCTGTGATAGGAATAGGATTACAATAAGTTTAGAAGTACACCGACTTCAAAAATGAAATTTATGTTAACAATCACTAACTTACTAAGTCTTCTACCAAATTGACAATCATAAGACATACACGCGCAACTTCTTTAAGTTCAAAAGTCCAACGGCAAACTACATGTATATTGTCTAAAAAGTATTACGTATCATTATAAGAAAAATGCATGTGAATTATTTATGAAAATGAGGAACCGTCATTTTGTTACACACTTTAAGCAGTCCGTCCAGCCCATATTTCATTAGCATTATATATAAAAAGAATGAATCTAACCCCACATCAAATTATTGATTATACTCACCAGTTCTCGTTTGAGCCAGACCAATGACTCCCCGATACCCTCGGGTTTCTGTGTCACTGCCCTTGTCATCTTAGAGTAGGTATCCTTGCTACTAGATCCAAGTCTATGTGGCGCCTCTTTGAGTCCGAACTCATCTACCAAAGATCCACTCTGCTTTACCACAGGTCCACTGCAGCTAACCCCGCCACCAACTCTACCGGCCGCACTATCTCCCCCGGGAATCGACGCACCACTCCGATACTCTAACTCTCCACCATAAATGTCATATCCTGATTGTTTAATCCCGTTAAATGTAGATGTATTGGTCAGAGTTCTTCCATGTGCAGGGTAGTCCATCGATTTCTGGCTGTCCCGATCGAAATTGGAGAAATTCTGGTTGTTTTGGTGCAAGGAATAGTGGGTGAGAGTAGACGATACTGGCATGTCTACTTTGTCGTCTGCCCCCGTGCTTCGAATAGAAATATCTGTGTGTCGTATATGGTGTGTACAGTGTGTTTGCGTGCTACGGTCTACAGGGCTTGGCTGCTGTGATTGTGGATGTGCATTCCACGTCTTGCCTCGCTTACAATCCTCTGTCAACCCTTGAGCGGGAGAGCGCGCTCTGTTGCTCGACAAAAGCGGACTGCTGGTATCGCGTTCCTTTGAAAGGTCGATCTCAGGTTGTTGAAACTTTCGGAGCGTTACCGGTCGAACAATACGGATTCCTAAAGTGTTTGCCATACCACACGCCAGAAGAACCCAGTGTTTAACGTCTGCAAATCGAAGATTAATGAAAAGGAACAATGGAAGTGAAGAAAGCAGAACTTAATGAAAAGGAAACCATGAATAGGGTGACAGGGTCCATTATACATCCATGAAAGGTTTCGAAGGCAAATTGGCACAATGTTAAACAAAATTTTAAAAAACAAAGGCGTGAAAAGTAAGATTATCATGCAAACGGAATTAAAAATAGCCAAAATAAATTATGGAAAAAGGGTTAGTGTAAAACATGGAAAACACAGGAAAAGCAGAGGATTTGGATCCCCATTGAGATAGCCAAAGATGTTGATTTTACATTCACAAGAAGTAAAAATCAGGTTATCTTATTGATCCAAACATAGGATTTGAGCATCCATTGAGTCATAGCAAAACAAAATGATCGATAAGAGAGCAGAAGAGGTAGATAGAGCGAGAGAGAGAGAGAGAGAGAGAGAGAGAGAGGGTGAAGCGATTGAGGGGCAGAGAGGGAGAGGGGAGCGATAGGGGGGGTGGATAGCATGTAAAGGGGAGATGCTATTAAGGGAGGAATGCATTCAAGGCACTTTCCAAAATAAAGGGGGAGAGGATTGAAGGGAATCAACCTATTTAGAGGTACAATACAAACACAAAGCATAACAATAATGTTCATGGTTGTTTTTCTTATAATAATTATTATTTTAAAAACCCGGCTACATTGCAATATATAAAATGTATTTAACAAATGGCACTGAAGTAATGCAAAACATAACTGAGATCATCTTAATCATTAATATCATATTCTTTTCTTAGCAATACCTGCATGACAATGACAGATTTGTGTACATCATGAGCTATTAATACAAAACTATATAGATCTTAATATGTTCATACTCGCCCTATCCATATCATTGCAGACAAACATCCAGTCGACGCTGGAATAGTTTTGATGAATATCTTTTTTTTTTTTAAAGTATGTTATAGGAAATACTGCAGGTACAGTGAAGTATTATGCATAGGCAGAAAGGGTAAAGAGGGGGATACGAGGGAGAGGGAGAGAGAGAGGGGGGGGGGGGAGGTAGAAGCATACATTTGTGGCTTAAAGGGTAAGTTATTATCAAGGAGAGATGAAAAGGGGCGATTTGTTCGGTTGTTCAGAAGGAAATTGGTTTTCCATGTCCCCGTCGGTAAACTCAACTTGAATCAGAAGAAGAGATAAAATTAGTATAGGGATGCGGTTAAGAACGCAAACATATTAAAGAAACAGGCATGGGAATAGAAATATGAATTAGGGATGTAAAGGGGAGATATTACGAGGAATTTTTTTTATTTTACACGGAAAGAGTAAAGTTAAGAAGAGAGAGATAGAGGAGAAGAGAGAGATAGAGGGAGAGAGAAGGAGGGAAAGAGGGAGGGAGGGGAGAGAGAGAGAGGGAGAGAGAGAGAGAGAGAGAGAGAGAGAGGGGGGGGGGGAAGAATGGGTGATGGTACACTGGAGACACTGGAGAGGGCGCATGGCAGAATTATCGTGCCTAATTTTGAATGCATTTAGCAACCAAAATAATATTATTGATATCTGAATTTAGACATTTTAGGATAATAACTATAATTCTAAAAGATAAATAATTATTGTTATAGCATAAAATAAATGGCCATCTTTTATAAGTAAGTAATAAATATAATTATATACTCTACCCCCCCCATATCTCTCTCTCTCTCTCTCTCTCTCTCTCTCACTCTCTGTCTCTCACACGCACAAACACACGCACGCATCCCCCTCTTTGTTTTTCCATCTCTTTCTGTCTGGAGATCGGGCCATACACTATTTACTGCAGAAAATCTACCTTTCCTATATCACTTAACCTTTAAGTCTACTCCAACCTGTCTCCCTGTTTTTATCCATTTGTCAATGTCTTTGATGCAGAACCGCGTCTCTTTCTCTATCACCATCTATCATTGCCAATTTGACAAGGAGATGGAAAGCCGCTCTTTCCTTTTTACAACCTAACCCCCTTCCCCTTCTCTCCCTCTCTCTCTCTCTCTCTCCCTCTCTCCCTCCCTCTCTCTTCCTCTCCCTCTCTCTCCCCCCTCTCTCTCTCTCTCTCTCTCTCTCTCTCTCTCTCATTTACTTTACTCTTTCCTTGTAAAACAAAAAAGATTCCTTCCCTCTTTTCTCCAAAGTAATATCTCCCCTTTACATCCCTAATTCATATTTCTATTCCCATGCCTGTTTCTTTAATATGTTTGCGTTCTTAACCGCATCCCTATACTAATTTTCTCTCTTCTTCTGATTCAAGTTGAGTTTACCGACGGGGACATGGAAAACCAATTTCCTTTTGACAACCGAACAAATCGCCCCTTTTCATCTCTCCTTGGTAATAACTTACCCTTTAAGCCACAAAATGTATGCTTCTGGCTCCCCCCCCCTCTCTCTCTCTCTCTCTCTCTCTCTGCCATATAGTATCCCTATCATAAATGAACTTTACCAACAACAAAAAAATCACTATTTATTTTTACAACCAATGCGTTATCTTCTTCTTCTCTCTTCCTTACATTAGGTGCCTGTTTTATTTGCTTATCACTGCTTACCGTATTTCATTCTTTGTTATCTGACGTAGACGATGTAAATCATCTGTTTCTGCTCTCTGAAGTTCACTTGTACTTGTCTTTCTATCTTATGCTTCTACCTATTTGACTCCCAGTCTTTATAATTATCCTTTACTGATGTGAATACAAGTGGAAACGTTTTTTTTTCTTCATTCAACACTCTCTCTCCCTCTTGATTTATCTCTATCTCTCCTGTTTTCAATAGCTTGCCGTATAAATTCTAAATTATGCTTCTACGCACCCTTTCCTATGTGTCTCTCGCCATGCAAGTCTCTATCTTTCTCGCCCTCTCTATTTCATTAAGTCGTTCAAGTTATCTGACGTGAACAAGGAAAGGGAACCGATTCTCAATCACCCGTGATGTTAAGGCTGTTGTCACCGTTCATGATGAAAATTCAGGATGGCATGAGAAAGGGGCTCCGTATAGGGTTCTCATATAATTTCTTTCTCCTGTGGAGTCTTATGCATCCAAAATGAATATAGCCATCTATCATTGCTAGTTTAATTCTAGCTTCTCTCTATCATTGGCATGACCTTTCAAATATAAACGATATGAATATATTGGTAATTATTTTTTTCAAACCTATAGTCGAAGAGTATATTCTTTAAATGGCACCATGGCAATGAAGCAAAACGGTATATTATGGTGACAAACATTATGATTCTTATCAGTGATCTTTCGGGTTACTATAGCAAATTTGATATATATTTCCTTTATTAATTACTTCAAATTACAGTAGGAATACTCCAAATTCTGTCATATACTTTCACAATTCTTGAAATGCCACTTTTCATCGGTATATACGCGAATCTATTCGTAATACACCAAACGTCTTGATCCCTCTTTTCTATTTGCCCACTAAGTAAAAGCATTTCTTACTTAAGACTCTCTGTATGTATATCATTATCAATTCCATCTCTATGACTTTTACCATTGTACGGGTCAACTGAAAATGATGTACTAAATTGGCTACTCTTCCCCATGAGAATAGACCAAAAGCATAACAGTCAGAATTTACCGAATTTGCTCTTTTTGTACCAGAGTAATTCTTCAAACCTCTCATATAAATGGGTGACAATAATCATGCTTGCAACATGTTAGTCGGTGAGCATGCAGAGGCGGGCAGAAAAAGTACTATGATTATGCTCAGTGTAAATCTATCTCTCAAAAATGGAATGCGAAATGTGATTATTCTGGATCGAATCAATTTGATTCACTGGAAGAGCAATAGGGAAATTATGATAACAAAACAAGAAAAGAGATAACCTTAAATAGTCATGAATTCGCAACAACTTTGCTATTGATCTGCTTCCCGTCACTGCATCCTTTTTGTGAATCTCGCAGACCGCCTTTCCTGGCAAACCTGACACCGGGACATTGATCGGAAACCGCTTCACATCCCACCTTATTAATCACCAACCTTATGACAATGACTTACCTTTCTAGATTCAAACCATCAATATGGTTTATCCTTTTTGAAAGTTGTGGCATATTTCCAAGAAAACACGATGACAGTCCGCTACATGTTGAGCCTCTAACCAGGAGGTAATAACACGCCATGCAAGCGTCCAATTATTCCCAATAAAATTCATTTTTCTGGTCACACTCCCGCTCTGTATAAATCAGCCTCGGTTCCGTTACAACACCCACAATATATGTCACATATCGAAAGGGGAGGCATAAAACCTGAATAATGCTCAAAGCAATTTCGAATTCCAGTGGTCCCATTGCTGTTGGCTTAAATATAGATTTTTTACATAGTCGATCCTGAGGGGACAGCTGTGTTTTACTCGCCGCTCTAACAGAATGGGATCATTATGAATGTGCGTACATTAATTATTATTCAGTTCTGCGCACGCTACAGCGTAAGATGGGGCACGTAATTTATAAATCCCGCTGTTTCTGCAACGCGACTGCCTCTCTGAAGCGAGCGACACAACAGTGCAGTATTTCATCGTCATCTTCCTCTAATCTTATCCCGGGATCGCATCAGTGGAAGATGTATACTGAATTCATTCGAGTGTGTATCACAATGCTCTTGTTTGTGATGTGAGCAAAACAAAAAGGCCCTTTTGAATAATGTACACGATTGTATCCACATTTACTTTGTGTATATATTTCTATCAAAACTACTGCTTAGATCATCTCTTTCTTTTCTTAAAATTTTCTTGATGTTTCGATCTGGACCGTTTTGGGCCAACTTCAACATCCGTAGAATCCAATTCATGAACTTGAAGCCAAAACAAAATTACGGAACTCGTGTACAGAACAAATAAAATAAAAGGATACTCAAATTTAGTTTTTGGAAGGATAATTGAATTCATGTATTATCTTGGCCGTTCCATCACTTAGTATCCACACTGATTGTCATCATCTTACAAGTATTGATTTGGTTCATATTATCGTTCATGTCAAATGAACACACGAAGCTTAAATATCACTGTCCAGTTCTTAGCAACAGAAGGCACTAGATCACTTCGCTCGCTTGCGAATTATATTCGTGTTGATCATAATTATTTACAATGACAATATTTTGCAGATTATCAGCAAAACATGAATACAAGTAAAATTCATACGATTTCCTGTCTAAACGAGCCCGGATAATCGGTTTCCAAGAAATGTAATCGGAACAAGTTAAGTCGTATATTTCACGAATCGGTGATAAGGAAGAGAATGAAAAGGAAGTCCCTCAATTTTCGTCCTGCCAGCTGTAGTATAAAATTATGTTATAAATCAAAGCACTTGCCCTTGTTTATGACTATGGTGTTCTTTATTCGCCTCAAGATGATAAAATATATGATAACAGCCTTGGAGTTACCCCTATTTTCTCATCAAATGTGCATTATTTAGTTTGTCAATTATGTCCTTAAATATTGAAGAGGCGTAATCCCCTAAAGATGGCGACACTCATAACGCAAGAAAAACCGAAAGGGTGGCCGATCCAAGGGGCGGGGCATGATTCACTCTCCTCCCTCCCCTACACTTAATCTCTCTCTGTATTATCCTCTACCTCTCTCCCTCTCTCTCTCTCTCTCTCTCTCTACCCCTATCTCTCTCTCTCTTTCTCTCTCTCTCTCTCTCTCTACCCCTATCTCTCTCTCTCTCTTTCTCTCCCGAAGTAACAATGCACGATGAGACTTTGACAGCACTTTTTACAAACCCTGTTGCTCGGTCATCCGTGACAGAAAAAGTATGAACAGGGTATCATTAGACAAAAAACAAGTTACTCTTTAGCATGAAGTAGATTTGAATGTCACATTGATTATGACTTTGTAATTATAAATCACTAAGTTGGTTATACATTTTTTTTTAAATACGCACTGTATAATACAGTTATACAGCGCATTTTGGCCCATGACTTTGGCAACACCTGCAATCCATCGCGACCACATTGTGTGGTTTGTTAAAAATTCAGTGGATTCAATATACAAATGTACTGAACAATAGGACATTCCAATTGACAGATGTCGAACCTACAGAACAAGGGAAAGCCACATTCAAAATGCAATTCCAAGTCACATTAGACGTTCAAACCTTGAAAACATACATGTCATATCATAGTTTATCATTTATTCATGATAACAATTATTCCATCAAAACAATATTCATTACGATCCTTAATGAAGATTTTACTCCATTGTAAAATTCAAAATCATGAAAAGAGATTACTAGTATACATACTATGCGTTTACACAAATGTAATAAAGGAAGAAAAATCAAAGTGTCTTCAGGGCTGGCACGGCGAGTCAAAAGTGAAGAAGGGCAAAAAGGAGGTATTTCTATATAGTAGATACATATCTAGAGAATAATCTGGAACTTAAATGTTCTTGTTTACAGGTCATAGTATATCTTACATGTATAAATTATAAACAAATGAAGTGATACATATTAGTAGCACAGGAATCTCATCAGGAAGGAAAGAGGAAGAGGAAGAAGGGGAAAAAAGCTGCAAAAAAAAAGAGACCGATGAGGTCAATTTACTTTCCCTCAACAAAACCATGGCAGCAAATGAGAATCGCAAGGTGGAGGTACTTGAAGGCATTCTTGCTACTCTACAAGGAATTAATGGTGAAAAAAGGAGGTACTTGTCATAGTAGATACATATCTCAAGAACAATTTGGGGACTTAAATGTTTGTGTCTACAGGTCATAGTATTACTTACATGTATAAATTATTAAAAAAACAAAGTGATACATATTAGTAGCAAAGGGTTCATGTAATTAGAAAAAGAGGCAGTTATCATTACTGGAAATGAGGCCACATTGATAACACTGAGCCGCAGTGCACTTTCAAATGTCCTCTATTTACGATAGAGCAATTGTTATTTACCTTCCCGATTTGGAGTGTTGTGTACGCTTAAATCTTGCTTCTTCAATTTTTCCAACAGAAAATCCATAATTTATTAATCTTGCTATTAATCCTTTTTTAATCTTGTATCTTAATTTTAGTGTCAGGAATCCCAGCAGGAACTTGAAGGAAAGAGGAAGAGGAAGAACCCATCTAAATGCCAAACCATGTAAGGGTCAAGGAGTAGACAACCAAAGGCCTTCACATATAGTATGCATGGGATACACCTATCATCTGTAAAGCAGACCACCTATTTGGGAGTCCACTTGTCTAGCGACATGTCCTGGATCAATCACATCAACCATGTCGTAAATGATGCAAGTAAGATCCTGGGATTCATCCGCAGAAACCTGTCAAGATGCGATGCTAAAGTGAAAGCTGCTGCATTCAGGGTGCTGATACGTCCTAAACATGAATATGCAGCAGCTGTATGGGACCCTCATCAATCTTACCTGGTAGATAAATTGGAAATGGTACAAAGAAGGGCAGCACGATTCGTCTACAATGACTATCGCCGTACTACACGTCTCTCAGAGTTACTCAAATCCCTGTAATGGTCTCCTCTCCAACAACGAAGGAAAGACAGCAGATTAACGCTATTCTACAAGACACTCCACCAGGGAGCCACTGTAGATATCCCTGATTATGTTCATGAAGCACCAAGATCTGTGAGAGAGAATACCAATCGTCTAGTCCCACTACAATACCAAACAAACGCGTACCTGAACAGCTTCATACCAAATACAATAAGAGACTGGAACAGCCTCCCACCAGTCGTCAAAAACCTGAACTCTACACAACTATGCCTCCAAAAGAACCATGCATCAATTTAAAATGCACATTGAACGGAGGCGACACCACCTCTAGACGTTGGATACCATACTGAGAAGAAGAAGGGGAAAAAAGCTGCAAAGAAAGAGACGGATGAGGTGGATCTACTTTCACTCAACAAAACCATGGCAGCAAATGAGAATCGCAAGGTGGAGGTTCTTGAAGGGATTCTTGCTACTCTACAAGGAATTCATGGGTACCTGCAAAGAATTAATGCCTGCAAAGATTGACTGCCACTCCGCAATCTACAGCTGTAGATCTCCTAAACCGAATGCATATGCTTAACACAGGTCATTATCTGCAAATGGAAGTTGTGGTTTTTATTGAAGATGATTTCCAGCAAGTTGTTGAGGGTTTGGAAGAGGAAGAGGAAGAAGAGGAAAAAGCTGCAAAGAAAGAGACGGATGAGGTGGATTTACTTTCACACTTAAATCTTGCTTCTTTGATTTCTTCAATTTTTGAACAGAAAATCCATAATTTATTAATCTCGTTATTAATCTTTTTTATCTTAATTTAAGGCTCAGGAATCCCAGCAGGAAGGGAAGAGGAAGAAAGGAAAGAAAGCTGCAAAGAAAGAGATGGATGAGGTGGATCTCCTTACCCTAAACAAAACCATGTCAGCAAATGAGAAGCACAAGGTGGAGGTACTTAAAGGGATTCTTGCTACTCTACATGTAACTTGAAACAAGAGGCAGTTATCATTACTGGAAATGAGGCCGCTTTCATAACACTGAGCCGCAGTGCACTTTCATATGTCCTCCATTTACGAAAGAGCAATTGTTATTAACCTCCCCTATTCGGAGTGTTGTGTACACTTAAATCTTGCTTCTTCAATTTTTCCAACAGAAAATCCATAATTTATTAACCTCGTTATTAATCTTGTTTATCTTATATCTTAATTTTAGTCTCAGGAATCTAAGCAGGAAGGAAAGAGAAAGAGGAAGAAGGGGAAAAAAGCTGCAAAGAAAGAGACAGATGAGGTCAATTTACTTTCCCTCAACAAAACTATGGCAGCAAATGAGAATCGCAAGGTGGAGGTTCTTGAAGGGATTCTTGCTACTCTACAAGGAATTAATGGTTGCCTGCAAAGATCGACTGCCACTCTGCAATATAAAGCTGTAAATCTACTAACCCGAATGCATGTGCATATCACAGGTCACTATGTGCAAATGGGAGTTGTGGGTTTTATTGAAGAAGATTTCCAGCAAGTTCCTGAGGGTTTGGAAGAGGAAGAGGAAGAGGAAGAAGGATAAAAAGCTGCAGAGAAAGAGACGGATCAGGTGAATCTACTTTCCGTAAACAAAACCATGGCAGCAAAGGAGAATCGCAAGGTGGAGGTTCTTGAAGGGATTCTTGCTACTCTACAAGGAATTCATGGGTGCCTGCAAAGAATGAATGCCTGCAAAGATTGACTGCCACTCCCCAATCTACAGCTGTAGATCTCCTAACACAGGTCACTTTTTGCAAATAGGAGTTGTGGTTTTATTGAAGATGATTTCCAGCAAGTTGTAGAGGGTTGTTTTTATGTTACTGGTTCAAACAATCAATCTACTGCAGGATAAACAATCCAGAATAAATTATAGCCATGTTCTCTCGACATAGGATTCCCATACAAGAGCTCAAGATTAGCTTTGACCCTTAAAACACTGAGCTATTTTGAACCTTTAAAAAACTGGGGGGGGGGGGGGGGGGAGGCTTAAAGGGCCCCTTCCCCAAGATGTCGGCAAACGAAACTCTGATCGACTCCAAATTTGGCATGGTGATAGATGTTTATGAAATCCACGATATTGCATAGTTAAAATATCTTTTTGTTTGTATTTTTCTTTATATATGGTGATTCTTATAAGACAAAACTGTATTCATAGTACAATATACATGCTGAGATTATATTTGAACAATCTCTGATAAAAAAAAGAAGGTAATTGACATGATAATTATCCAACTTATGAATAATTAAGATGTCATATTATATCATAAACACTTGTTTTTCGGTGATGATTTCATGTGAAGTCATAAAAGACATTTTTACTTCCTTATGTATGAGTGCTTGTTTATTTGTCTTTTGTAAAGTATGAAAGATAACATCAGGATAATCATTGTTATCTATGTTTTTCTTTGTATTGTTCTTTAAATATTGTATTCTTTTATACAAATGAGAATAGAATAAGTTTTATTCACCATGCCAAATGGGAATACTAACAGTATATGTGAAAAGATGGGTATAAAACTGCAACATAAAAGGTGCATATAAAAACTCTGTATGTTTTATATATGGAAGAATTTAGAAAAATACAAACTGGTGTGCACAAAACGTAATCAATTTAAGAGCTCTGCAAGATACATATATGAACCAAGTTTGGCGGTAATCCATCAATCAGTTCTTGAGATAACGTGACGTACAGACGTACGGACAACCAGAAAACATAATGCCTCCGAGGCATAAAAAGTCATGAAGTGGCACCGTTACATATTTAAGCATAACGAAGTAATCATGAAAATAGATAAGGGGGGGGGGGGGGGGGGGGGGAGCTAAATCAGCCCCCAGTCTTTTTAGGGTTAAACTGCGCACAACATGTCAGGTGACTCTGCACACAAAACATGCACAGGAGTAATACCCTGTGTGATAACAATTCTCATGAAACCCAAAAGTGGTCGGTTGAAGAGATGATTTTATACTGTCTGCCAACCCAGGTAACATCTTTTCATGGAATCCTCTCATTTTCTATCTCTTAATTATCAGCCAAATGGCTTCAATAAAAGTCTTCTTTAAAGCATTTCACATCTCCTGCTATGTAGTAGCTGCAGTCCAGGGGTCAGGAATCCGCCTGAAGACGGCAGGGAATTTCTCTCCACTGTTTCTTGTCACCTTCTGACCTTCTTCGGTACTCTCGTAGAGTGCCTTGACAATTGGGTCCATATTCTATAAATATACAGAGAGAAGGAGTCTATGAATAAAAGCAGTTATTATGATTTGGTGTAAACTGTTACATTTGCACCAATGTTTATGTAACAAATCTTTTTACAACCAAAAGCTATCAGGACCTTATAATCTCAATTCATATGCATCTTTTGATGCCAGATTTACATATTTCTATTATCAGTTACTTGTTAAGTGTCAATATTTCCGGCTAAAACAGACGTTTTCCTTGTGTGTGTCAAAGACAATACACAATCCTATTAAATGTATGTGTATATCAATGGATTCATCTCTCATGATTCTAACACCATTTAAGATGTTCTATCTACATGCCACTTATCATATTATTTTGAAACTGTGACAAAGAATGGTGGGGATAAGGGGGGGGGGGTCTATCCTCTCACTATCCACTACTATAACTTGACCATTAAGGGGTTTAATCAATCTTTGAGTTATACTTCTTTGAGAAGTTCCAGAGGAATTTTAGAGTGGGATTATATTCTTCCTGTTTAATCTAAATAATAAGCCCCTAATCACTTAAAAAAGAGATATCTTGAAATATCCTGATAGAAGTTAGAACATTCTGCAAATCTGAATATCAACAGAAAAGGGTGGCAGACCTTGCCAAATATGAATGTTTTACAAAACATTACTTAAAGAAGCTGGGCACAGCTTGATTAGTTTATTGCACTAGGTAATATATTTGCACACATTTTACGAATACTTTTAATATTATCTCAATATGAAACTCATGTCCTGAAGACTTATGTGTCCATCATATATCTCTAGGCTTGAAACTTATATTATTTAACAAGTTTGGCTTTACAGATAACCCCCATGTCAAATGCAGTCGATTCACATTTTGATGCTCTAGCGCCATCTCTTGGCCTGTAACTTATATTCTATGCAAGTTTGGTTTTTACATATTCACCCCCCCCCCCCACAATATATTTCCAATTTTCTATGTTTTCACGACTCACCATCTCTTGATCTGATAATCTCTTGAACAAAGGATGCTCCTCAAAGTGACGGGCCATCCACTCATGTATCTCCTTCACATCAGTAATAGTATACACCAGACCCTAATAACACAGTCAAAGGAAAGGATAGCATATAAACATTAATATTGACAATGACTGGTGTGTGACATCTCAAATCAAACAAATGCTTCCAATTCTCTTCTTAGTAAAGAATAGGAATTGTACGGAGCCTTGCCGAGGAATCCTGGTGCTTCAAATCATTTTAACAATATAAATAATTTAATATTAATGGTCTGCCAAATAACTGTATGATGTCATACGTTTGCAGGTGTATGTAAGTTTTATAAGATGTCTCCAAAAATAAGAAAGTGTGCAAAAGCAAAATTAGTACAGGTGCACAGACATATGCAGTAATGATTGTTACTGAACCATTATTCACTTTGAATAACAGAAATATGTATAAATGCATGAAATACGAACAGCATGAACTATCTAGGAATTGGCAAGGGCGAATGGAAGAAAAGAGAAATATCCTTACCCCTTCTCCTAGAACATAAGCATATTCTGCAAGAAGAGTTGGGCTTATGATTCTCCATTTGTGTTTGGTCTTCTTGAAGTGAGGGTCAGGAAATAGGAAGAATAGTTTCTTCAGCTGTAAAAACACAAAAATATAACAAACAATGGTCAGAAGTGTACACATGAGATGGGAACACAACCAAAAACTTCAAATAGAAAATTACAAATAGTTGCATGGAAAAAAAAAATCAAGAACACAACATCAACAACGTCTTACATAAACATTTCTATACGACTTAATTACAGAAATGCACATGCTATTTTATGTACAAAAATACAAAGTGGAAAGTATAAAGAAAAAGAGTGCTTTTTCATTTGAAAATGGTAGAAGATAAATGAAATAGCCACTCAAAACTTAATGGTAACAGATATAACACAGAGAATATGAGAGATAAAAAGGGTATACTCAGGACACTACAGTTCCCTAACTTATGAAAAAAAAATTGATCAATGAATACTAAACCCCTGCTATGGTCATCATTTTCCCTTTACAAGTCTAATGACTTTATTTAGGATAAACTTACCTGTCCTTTCTCAAAGAAGTTTGGGAGATGTTTCATGGCGTTGCAGCGAATACACGCAATATTGGAGTAGGAATCTGGATGATTTTGTCTCAACGCTTCAATACGTTGCTGTACATAATCTGACACCTTGATACGTATCTCCATTCCCAACATTAGATGGTCTGGGTAAAGTGGTGAAAGGGCCACTGTAAAAATTATAAATTTTTTTAAAAAAAATTACATTGTGGTATTCTACTGTTTTTAAGTAAATAGACATATTCTATTTTTTTTAATTGGGCATATTCTTTTTTTTAAAAGATTAAATGAATCTCGAAATAGAAATTTGATTAATTTCAGAGAGTTGACAGAAGAAATGCGTATTGATATGTAAAGTAAAACTAACTCCTAAGGGTTCTCAGTTCAGCAAAAAGTTAAGTAGTGAACAAGATAATTTATACTACCGGTAGACAGAATTTTCTCACCTAAAATTAGCAAAATAATACATCTAATAATCATAACATAATGCCAACTGTCTATTACTAGTACTACTACCATCGATGATAGTAGTAATAATAATGATAACAATAATTTTCTGTTACTTGGTGCATTTACATTATCCTGTTCAGAGAACTAAATCATAAATGTCAATGATTATAGAATGAAACCAAAACAGCAAGATTTTGCCCAAAACTGAAGGCCTATGTGTAAAGATCCCTTAAGAACTTTCAAGGAGGCGAGTTGAACCAAAGATCCCAGGTTTGACTCCCACCCAGGCGGTTGACTGAAGCCTGTGTTGTGTGTTAACGTGCCCCTTCCCTTGTTCATAGACGCAGGTTATGTCAAGTGGAAAACACTCCGTCCCTCGGATAGGAAGTTAAATGGAGGCCCCGTGTAGAGAAGAGTCACTACCTTTGCACGTTAGGAACCCACTGCACTATTGATATAAGAGTAGGGGGAAACCCCGGTGTAGTGGTCCACCTGCACACACCCCCAGTATAGTACGATAATACTCTGTAAAGAGGTCTGTACTCAAAAGGAAGAACATCAATGTTTTCATGACCTAGAAATTCACGATTGAATGGCAGTGTCTTACCCAACAAACCACCATATCCACATCCAACATCCAGGAATTCTACTTTGTGCTTGGCATCAATGAGAGAAGATGGGTAGTACTGACTCCAGTCCATTTCAGATGGCTTCAAAGGACTGGAATAAAAGAATGAGAGGATGAAGACCTTGAGAACCAAACAAATATAAACAGGTTTGGTCATGCGACAAATCTAATTGCAACTCTTGTCAGGGAGTAAATATTCATAAATGAATGATGCACACCAATAAAACTATAAAAAAAAAAAAAAAAAAAACAGGGAGATGAGAGTTGGTCTAGCTACACGTTCACTTTGGCCAGCTCTCTGTCTTTGCCTACAAACTGGATCAGGCAATCCTGGTTCAATACTGAGTCACGTCTTCCGTTAGGTTGGCCCCCAGGGCCAGACGTAAATAATCATATCTGATTGATACACTTCTGTAAAAACCCTATTTACAACATGCACTTGACTTACATGTAGCAGAAAAATTGAGCAAAAGCATCAAGTTGCAATTGTGACAGTTCTGTGAAACGATTTAATAATATGGGTTTTAAGTTTTTCATTTTTACTATTTAATACACTGAGCTATTTCCACACATAAAACTTGTTCATGTAGATTAGGCCTAGATCCATTGGTGATTAATTTTTTTTCACCATTCATGGTCAGTCATTTACCCATGGTCTAAAATTATCAGCACAAAATGAGCGCCTTACAGATAGACTAATAATAGAGGTCCAATATTAATTTATAGACGCGTGGGGCAAAGTATGCTTAATTTGCACTTGAAACTTGAATTGATGAGGTAATCCCTGAACTTCTGAAGCAGCTTTTCCAAGCTATACTGGGATGGATGAGATGTGTTGTGACAGCAGGTGAAGGTGCAGACAAGTAAAGGGTGTACAATTTCTTTATACAGTAAACAGTGATGTGCAAGTAAAAAATCATGCTGCTATATATATGATAATTGCTTACAATTATTAGGCCTAGGCCCTACAGCACTAATTTTAAACCAATTTTAAACCAAAGCCATAACTAGCCAAGGGCAAGGGGTTATTTAAATGAGATTTTTTAACCATGGGTTAAATTTAAACCTCCTTTGCGAATTTGGGCCTTGCATTAAGACTTCATGCATTGTTTGGACTAGGACTCTAGCCTCTAATCTAGGAGTGATTTTCACGAGAAAACGTTTCTGGCGCTGGCTCTGGCAGTGCCAGTGGCAACATCAAATTGATCTTCTTCTTCTTCTTCTTCGTCTTCCTCCGCACTATCGGAGATCAGCAGCTACCAGGGTACTGCAGTTTGTCATAGCAGGCAGGATTGTCAAGTCAAGTAGAAAATGTATTAGCGATTGCATTAGCACGAGCAGAGTGGATATTGTATAAAAATGACAGTGATGCATTAATAAGAAAATTCTTTTGGTTAGGGCAGACAGTTAGAACATTCGGAAGTAGGACTGCCCGCGTGAAGGTCTCAGGGTCATCTGGACTGAATAGAGCGAGTGTCGACTGCTGTACGCCCCTGTGGTGGAGATTGTCGACCAGCTTCTGGCGATGATTCCTAAGTGGTTTACACTTGGCTATGAAGTGTGTGATGTCCTCCTCTTCCGCTTTGCACACTTGGCAGAATCGGATCGTACCCTTCTTGATTTTACACAGCCGGGATTGAGTTAGGTACGTCTGAGAGAGAAGTTGTGAGCGTACAATGATGGCTTGACGTAGAAAACTTGAGGAGATGGACTTCGGGTAAAGGTCATGGGGGGAGCTAGTGTTATTCTTGAAGAAGGCGAGAGATGATTTTGCATTGATGGCCTCACGGACTTTCTTCTGCATAGCCGAGTCAATTGCAGACCTAGTGACTGACTTCCATGTAACGTAGGGAACGGGCTTGGAGAGGAGGGAGTGAAGGTTGGGGAGCTCATAACTTCTCAAAGTTCTTTCCCAGGTCCTCGCCAAGGGAGTGAAGTTGGTGATAGCATGATGTAGTGTGCGTACCTCATATCTTGAGTGTGGCAGATTGATAAGTTGACCTATGACGAGGAGAATTTCTTGGTCAACTCGCATGCTCAGAGGAAAGACTGAGTGGTGTCTGAACTAAACAGCTCAAGAAAACCTGTTAAAAAAGAAAAGTACCGAAAACAAAGAAAATCGTGTGAACACTGTAAATCTCACTATTCGAAAGTATGATCTGACATCGGATTAGAATGAGCCCTCTGCCGATAAAACTTCTTTTGGGGTAGTTGTCTCATGGGCGCCGCCATCTTGATTTCGATCCTCGTGCCAATAACCTTATAATGACAAGACAATGTACTTTGACTTACTTCCGTAGTACGCCCGGCAGCTCAGGCAGAGATGGCTCGAAAAGTTATGTTTGCCAATTATATCATGATGAAGAATTTCATTCCAATAGGAGCTAAATCCACTTAGGGTACTTCTGAGTAAATCGCTTTTTTCCCCCTCCACTTTCCCATGTACCTTCATGTTGTTATACAGTGGCGTATTGAGCAAAAACATTAGGGGGGGGGGGGCTGACAAAAAACAAAAAAAATCCGCATTCGACCCCACTCTTGCATGCAGGCCCCGCTGAACGTTTTTCAAATTGGGGTCCAGGGGCAAAGCCCCGGCGGGGGTCAATGGGCAGATTCCCAGAAACTCAAGGGGTATATGGGCATCAGTGGCGGATCCAAGAATTTCCGATGTACCGGAGGGAGGGGGGGGGGGGGGGGGGCGGGGAGACACAAAATTGAATGGGGTGAAATATATATAAAAAGGTGAACCGACAGAACGAGGCTTGAGCGGCGAGGGAGCGTAGCGACCAAACGGGGGTGAGTCTTGGAGGGGGTTCTGACCCCCTCCCTGAGTAGGAACCATTTGCAATTTTAGAACCACATTAGATACATTTTCGGGCACTTCCTGGAGCAGGCGCGTACGCAGGGGGGGGGGGGGGGTTTAGGGGGTTAAACCCCCTTCGGTATTTTAATGTGTGTATTTTTGAGGAAAGCCCCCTAAAACTCCCCCTTTGATTTTTTTTTTAATTATAAAAAAAAAAAAAAAAAAAAAATTATGACCATGGCTGACCTAAAAAAGGTGACCTTTTGACTTTTGTGTTTTCCTTTTTTTTTATCTAATTCTTAGAAAAAGAAAACGATTCGTTGTACCCTTCTATATCGACTCTTAAGCCTAGTCTGAATTCGGTTGCCCCCCCCCCCTCCTGCGCGAAGCGCGGAAGCTTTGGCCGTTGTACTAAATTATAGAAAGAAGACGATTCGTTGTACCGTTCTCTACTCTTAATCATTGTCTGAATTCAGTATCCCGACTGGGCCCCTTAACGGTACACCTGCAGTGTGACACAGGCGCGGATCCAGGATTTTTTTTGGGGGAGGCCCAAATTAATTTAGTATGTTGAAATTTGAAAATCTTGCGGGGGGGGGGGGGGGGGGATAGTGAGCACTAATTTTTTCTTCTATTTTGACCCCGAAAATTTTTGTTGAAAATCATGTGATTCATAAATTGCTAATTTGTATGGAATTGAAAATAAGTTTCATTTTATGGGGGGGGGGGGGGGGCTAGCGCCCCAAGCCCCCCCCCCCCCCTCCCACCAGTACGCCAGTGATAATATGTTTAGGGTGGCACTCTGGACCAATAATATATGATAAGAAAAAATCTACCAGTTATTTCTGATATTTACTGATTTTTAAGATTTTTTTCAGTGGATTTAGCTCCTTTTTGGAATGAAACATGATATTGTACTTTAAATTTGTCCTACTTCCTGGTGAAATTTTAGGATAGTTTTGTCAATAAAGTCACTGAAAATTTATTCAAATTTAGTAGCAAATCACAACTGAAACTGCCTTTTGGAAAGAAAGTAAATACACAGTTTCATTCCAAAAGGAGCTTACTCCACAAAATCTAAACATTTAGTAAAAAAAATCAGAAATATTATTAACTGGTAGATTTTTTTCTTCTTATCATAGTATCACTGGTCCAGGGCGACACCTTTAACATATATAACAACGTAAAGGTACATGGCTATAATGGGAAAGTGGAGAAATTAAAAAAAAAGTGATTTGCTCAGAAGTACACAAAGTGGATTTAGCTCCTTTTGGAATGAAGTCGATTTGGATCTAGCTCCTTTTGAAATGAAACATGATATTGTACCTAAATTTGATCATACTTACTGGCCGCTTTGTCCCCATGTAGGAAATCACTATTTTAAGACAAAAATTCAATTTTGATAAAATATGAATTTAACTCCTTTTGGAATCAAGCTCTTCATATGCGGACAACCTTTTTGATACAGGCCTACTACATCTTTTCAAAGTCCCAAAACGAAGAGTTTGGAAAATATTGTTAATCCTTTATTTTCGATAAATGCCACTATAACATGCATGTTCAAAAGACCCGCATTGCATAGGTATAACGATGACCTATCGCCTGTATTTACAATGCTGGTAGTTTTACTACTATATGCTTGCATGTTTAGTTTCCGGACTAACCACTCTTTGCTAAGTAAAACCTTTGGATTAATTCTTACGGATATGACACGGTGGCACGGCTGTGACTGTGAGTGTGGCGAAAATCGAGAGGTGAGGGAAAATCATATTTAACTGTTGAGTTTATGTTTTGTATGGTAAAATACTACCCTGGTAATTTTCTCGAACCTTATCAGTAAATCTATGCCACAGATCTTCTGGATTATTATAGGTTAGGCTTTAGTCTACTGGATCTAGAATAGAATCGAACGACGCGATAACTCCATTCTACCATAGAGCTCCGCCGCCGAAGGTTGGGGCGCGGGCGGCAGCTCACAGAGCTCCCTGGAGTTGACGACGCGACTGCTGATCAGCTAGCAGCCCGCCTTCTCAGCGGGCAACTCACCGGAGCTGAGCGGCGCGGCGTTGGGGGTTGAGCTCCCTTTTGAGTTTTGAGTTTTGGTGAAATTGTGGCGCTAGTTCAAAAGTCTATCCAAACTTTGACCGTAACTCTGGCGTTGAGAGATACCCGGCATAGATCTATTCATGATTATAGGCCCCACAACTGTTTTGAATCGATTAAAATTTATACTAGGGGTCTAGGCTTCTAACTTCAGCCAACTCACTATATATACTCGTGATCTTAGCCCCGCGCAACGGCATCGCGCGCACTTCAACACAGCAGCAGGGCCTGTATCACGAGTATATTATACGATTCTCCGATTCAACTAGCTATATATATACTCGTGATATAGGCCCCGCGCAAGGGCGTTACATGTTCTACAACACAAACTTGGGGCCTGTATCACGACTATACTGTATACTCAAGAACAAGGCCCCATCCTATGCATTTTCAAGACGGACAGGGGCCCGTTCCTACAAACCGTCATAAGTCTAACTTCTTGACTAAATCAGCGTTAGTGAACAACTTGTCCGCTACGTGTTTCACCAAGCCCTCTTTACCAAGATCAACGACAACATCCTGACTAAGGAGTTATGACACCTCTGACACCGTCGTATCTCTGTCATAACTATTTAGTCGATGGGCAGCGCCATCACATGTCATTTATTGGGTAGGCTATGGCTGGCAAAAAAGGACAATAAATCCTCCAACTATGATTTTTCTACACATTCACTTAAACAGTGAATTATCGTTTTTTGTATTTGATAATCTCATGAAAATATGCCATGTTTGTATTTAAGGATTTTTCCACTCAAATAAACTGATTATACGCCTTTATTTCCACATTGTAAACTCGTCGAAGGGATATGTATTTTGCCACGGCAGGCAAGCCATAGTTTGAAGTGTATTCTTTAGTTTTCAGACCCATATTAATTTCGAGATGAATTCTATTTTCAATTATGTAAAGTGAATGGTTTAAACATATGTTTTAACCTTTGAAATATTGAAGTTTTGTAATTTTTATATTGTGCTGACGCCAAAAACATTGAACACAAATTTCATTACATCGTATTTTTTCAAAGAATAATATAAGGGTGTATTTTTATAAACTATCAAATGAAAATATTCGGGGGGTGCCCATCTCAACAACAAAACTGATTCACTGGTCATGTAATGAAAAACTCACAATTATATTTTACAAGTACTTCAATTGTTTAATCTACTCAAATTTGGAAGTATATTGGATCTCTTATTTCTTGGTATTATTTTCAATCTTTTTTATTACTAATTCATTTAAATAATTGCATTTTCCCCTAATATTAATTTTGTAATAATCTGGTGGTATTGCGACTAAGGCTAATTCTTGGCTCCTCTTCTCGCCGATAATATCGATCTCACGAGATACTAGCTAGTAAGCTCTTCGTGAAACGGTTTAGGAAGATCAGAGACATCTCCGTAGTTGGCGGATAAAGTTATGACTGTCTTGTCGTTGGTTTCTAGGAACGAGCCCCAGCACGTTAGTGGGGCTTCTTTCACCGAAGTATAATTTAGGGGGTGTTTTGAGGTTCAATAAATAGAGCTAGCAAATGATTAAAAAGGGTTAGACTACATTTAAGTGATTAAATATATCTTTTAAACCCTATTTTAATATTTTACCTTTTTTAATATTTTTTCGTTTTTTAATATATTTCCTTTTTTAATATTTTTCGTTTTTTAATATTTTCGTTTTTTAATATTTTGGCCCCCTCTCTTTGAATTTATCTTTTAGTTGAGACTAGCCTCATGAATCTATAAACCTACATGTATTGTATTACAGGCCATCTTCATTTAGATATCAGGATTGACCATGGAGGTTCTCTTCAAAGGTCACTGGCACGATGGCAACATTAAGAGACCAGAGGAGATTGAGAGGAGAGACCTTGATGCTCAGGAGGATGTGGACAGTGGTCTGAGAGTGACCATCCCCAGGCCACTCTCTTCATCCTCTGGCTGGTCAGCTGCATTCTACTGGCAGGCAGCTATATCTTCCGCAGGCACAAAGAGACCACCGTGATCATCATCGATCCAGAGGCTCGAAACCATGGTAACCAGAGTGATATGGACCAGGAAGAAGATGAGGGGGAAGATAAAAGAGACAAAAATGGTTTCTATGGGAACGCCAGTGAGACTAATGGTCATGCTTCCAATAGGGAGGAGAGAGAGAGCAATGGGTTTCTATTTAAAGAGAAAATCAAGGATGGGTATGCGTCAGAGAATACCGGTAACCAGAAATCAGAGACAACTTCCCAAAACATCACCTCAAGCACTATCTCTGCTGTGAAGTCCCCGCCCTCTTTAGAAAAGTTCCTGCTGTATGCGGTGGGTCTGGGAGTGATCTTGCTTTACTTCTTCTTCTGTGAGGTTTGGGATGAATGGCCCGCAGGAGAAAGGATCTATAACAGAGACCAGTTCATGTTTTTCGCCCTCCTCATGTTCTTGGTGGCTGGAGTATTCACTGTACGTACCTGTCCAGACAAGTTAATCAACAGGTTAGTCACTTATTATTTATTTTAAAGGTGCAGTAATCTTTCCCATTTAATGTTTTGAATAGTTAGCCTGATATGGCTTACTCAGGCTGTAATCCATGAAAGAAGTATGATGTTAAAATCAAATCTTACTGCATGGGGTAAGACTAATATCCCTGTCACACCAACGAGACCGACACCAGACCTACACCAGACCTACACCAGACCTACACCAGACCAAACAACTAGATGGAATTCGACTGCGCGCAGTCGAAAATGATGCCTCCGTCATAGAGCAATTTTACAAACCAAAACAGAAGAAATTTTTCGAATTCAAGTTCAATTGTAATCCATTGACAGGTTCTCAGAAAATCGTGATTACAAGCAATTTCTCATATACATATATGACCCTTTGATCTTTGACCTCAAGACCCTAAAATCTACTCAGTTCATTGGCTCTGCAAGATGTCCTGAGTTAAATAGTAATCCATCTGTCAGTTCTAATGAGAATGCGTTCACAAGCTATTTTTGCATACATAATGAGCCCATGACCTTTGACCTTTGACCTTATGAACCAAGAATCTACTCAGTTCATTGGCTCTGCAAGTAACATACATGACCTAATTTTGGCAGGAATCCATCAATCGCTTCTTGAGATAACGCGGTCACGAGCTGTTTTTGCATACATAATGTGCGCTTTGGCCTTTGACCTTTGACCTCATGACCCCTAAATCTAATCAGTTCATCGGCTCTGCAAGTAACATACATGACCTAAGTTTGGCAGCAATCCATCAATCGATTCTTGAGATAACGCGATCACGAGCTGTTTTCGCATACATAATGAGCCCTGTGACCTTTGACCTTTAACCTCGTGACCCCAAAATCTAATCAGTTCATTGGCTTTGCAAGAGACATACATGACCAAAGTTTGGCAGGAATCCATCAATCGGTTCTTCAGATAACGCGATCACGAGCTGTTTTTGCATACCTAATGAGCCCTGTGACCTTTGACCTCGTGACCCCAAAATCTAATCAGTTCATCGGCTCTGCAAGATACATACATTACCAAAGTTTGGCAGGAATCCATCAATCGGTTCTTTAGATAACGCGATCACAAGAACGGGACGTACGTACAGACGTACAGTACGTACAGACGTACGGACGGACGGACGGACGGACAACCCGAAAACATAATGCCTCCGGCTACTTCGTAACGGAGGCATAAAAAGCTAGAAGTCAAGAATTGGTCTGCTTGGAGTCGGGGTTAGGAGTCTGTTTTGAGGTGCGACTGAGGTACATGTATAGCGTACCTCAGGAATCAAGCTTGGGATTACATTGTTTAAGCCTCGGTCGCAAATTCCATTACGAACTGCTACGAACGCCATACGAACGATTTTCAGACAATGGAAATTCGGAAAGACAATGGAAAAACAGGGAGATTCGTACAAACCTTTGTGACCGTAGCTTAAGACCCAAAGAGGAAGCAATGGATGTACATTGTAGGGGTCAGGTAACTCAGGTTTATAACTTTATGTGCTTGCATGACAGTACAATACTATACACATCATTCTGCCACATTGGCATTTGTCAAATTGTTAATCTTGCACTTGTATTTTGTATTTACATGTACATTTATGCAAATACAACTTTTCCACTATTTTAAAGTTATCATAGAGGGATAGAGCCTCTCAGTCTTGACTCTTAAAGGGACTTGGTAACATTGTTCAGATGAGAGATAGTGGTGCTAAGGTAGTGACTTCAATCAATGTTACATGTAGTTGTAAAATTAAAGATAATCTGAAAGTTTGAGTGAAAACAGACCATTATCAATGATACAAATTGGGAAAAACTGATCTGATCGATTCCTTATTACAATTTAATCACAATTTAGGTGAATGAAATCGACCCAAAGCAATGAATTTGCTTTATATACCATTCTAGACATTTAATTGTTGAAATGGTTTTAAAAGCCTGTCTTATGTCTTATTTTCATGGAAAAATGGTTGGGAAACTTTGCTGTTAGAGGGTGTCACACAGTGATGCCTTCAAAGAAAACCATAAATATCTTTGTGGTTTGAGAATTTTTTCAGAATTTTTTGCATGTTTAAGAGGGTTAGTACTACATGTAATCAGAAGATTTGATAAAAAAATTACACATCTTTTCCTCAACCGTCAACAATGTTACCGAGTCCCTTTAAATAATGTCCTTTAATACTGAGTGCCTCTTACATAAAAAAAAGTGCATACAATGTATGTACACTGCCTATTCAAAGGCCCATCACATTTTAATTGATTAAACACTGCTCATAAATGATAATCTATTAAATTGATGTGATATTCTCAATTTTTATCATGTACCACTACCTGTATGTGTTGGTGTTATCTCATACTTATGTTTGCATGTACATTGTACATGTAACTTTTGGAGTGATGAGAGAAAAGGAAGAACTTCTGATTTACATCTAACTTGGTAATGAACAAAGCTTGACTCATGTTACAATTCTATCAAGTCAAACCAGAGCTAATTGGAACAGATTTGTACTGAGCCTATAGATGCGAATAAGAGAATTCACAAGTTGGTTTTATGCGCTGTTCTACAGAACAGCTGGTGACTGGAACAGTGAATAAAAGAACGTAAAAATTTAAAAAGGTTCCAAGAATCCACACAATAGGCATCTGCAAAATCACAATGTACGCAATGCACTTGTGTTTGCACAGTTCTGAGTAAATGAACAACAATATTTGCAATATTGTTCTGCAAACATCATTGGCCATTGCATTGCGACATTGAAAGCAGCATTGTGAATTGTCAATTAATCAAGTTCACAAAGACCTACAGTGTACTGTCTACGTGAAGACTGGTGCCACAGTACTGAAGCAGATCAGCTATTATGTTTGATATACATTTTTAGACTTCATGTACACGTATTATAAAAAGTGGTCTCTTTGAAATCAACTCACCCAAAAGGAATGGGGTAAAAAAAAATAGGAAAAGTGGAAATTTTGATGATGACCAGGGATTCTTTTTGTTGATTTTGTTTTAATATCGTTTGCTTTGTTATTCCACTAAAAGAGAAACAAAGCAGCAACTTTAATCAACTTAAAATTACCCTAACTTTTATTCTTGTTATTTATCAACTACAGTCATATCATGCGGAGGCTTACAAAGAGCATGACATCTCCTATGTAATAAAGCTGCAAAACATCATTTTTCAGCTTCATGTAATACATGCAGTTAGAAAAATGATCCCCAGGGTTTGGCTACTGGAGTAGCTATGCTATAATATGAGCAAACAAGATACACTGTACTGTACAATCTATAAAATCTGGCTATTTCATTGATTTTATGATATGCTCTTTAAATACAATTTAAAGCGGTGCAATCTGATATCATCAAACACTGAAGTGATTTTGAATATGTTGCTCTACAAAGTTCTGATGTTTTTTTTTTAACATGTCAATTTTTTATACTTTTGTTTCAGGTCTTCTGAAAGAGCAAAATGTCTTCCTAATATCCATTTATCAATACATGTATTATTATGTCGAAAGATTGTAAGAGATTGGAATACTGTCATACATTGTATGTTGTGGTTTAGTTGATATTGTACATGTACATGACAACATGTACAATGTAGGCCTACAGTGTGTATGATGCCTTGTTTTCCTGGGGGGGAGACACAAAGGACCTCTCTTTCCATTGTAGCTGTAACTAAGTTATAAATTCTTTTAAGCTAATTTGTATTTGCATAATTGTGTTGAAAATTTCACAAACTCACAATTGTATTGAAGCAGTTGGATTTTCACAATATTTAGTTCTTACTTCTTACAATGAGTGAAAATTCTTAAGATTTTGCAAATGTTTTGCAAATAAAATACTTTGTGCAGTAAGACTGCATGTACATGTACATGTACACTCTTTTTGTACATGTAATCACTATCATGTTATTAAAAAATGAAATAAAAAAGAAGTAAAATGAAGTAAATGTAATTTTACAGTACAGCCATTTGTGCAGAATTAAGCCTTGTTCTGATATAAAGCTGCAAAACTGCGGCTGTTCTTTTAAAATGATGTGTAATATGCTTAACACATTTCTGTTTCTTTTAAACACAGATTTCAATGAACGTGTCAGACCTTTGTTGCCTGCAGTTTTCATTCATTTTACACGTTAAAAACTCTGGCAATTTTGTTGTTGTTAGTGTTGTTAACTGCATTGTACCTGAATGAGCCTTTAGTCTAGTTGTTATTAATTTCTATCAATTCTTTGTTTTGTTTTTATAGAGACCAGACCGAGGAATGGAAAGGTTGGATGCAGGTGATGTTTGTTTGGTACCATTACTTCAGAGCAGCTGAAACATATAACCTGGTGCGCTTCTACATCGCCTGCTATGTCTGGATGACTGGCTTTGGTAAGTACCGTATTCTTTTTCTTTATCATTTGGTACATTAACTCTACCATACCCATCTAGCTTTCCTGAATCCATGAACCCACTGAAACAATCATCCATTTTTATTTTTACAATAATGTTACAATATCACTAAATGTAGCTCTGCATAAAGCTTTGGATGATCTCAGGCGTACCATATTATTATTAAGAGGGATCCCTGTCTGAAATTTTATTCTGAGCAGTATTACACTGTTTGTCAATTTATTCTCTGTCTACAACTACAACTACAGTACATGTACATGTATATTACTTCCAATGAGTCGGTACCTACAGTGCCACGTCACTTGGCGTTGTGAAACTTGAGAAGTGATTTATATACATCATGTTTACAGATATGAATAATCTGAAAATGCTTATGAATGTACTTTTTAAACATAGAATTCATTTTATGTACACGTGTACGTGAACTCGGTGATACCTGAAATTCATGATGCCTTTGATGATTCAATGAATAATACAAACATTTATGGCCTTTTCTACCAGTTTCAGTATTGTTAAACTCAAGAGTGTACTGTAACAAAAAAGATTCTGTCATCAAACTGCACTTTCAAAAATGAATGAGGGGGAAAATCCAGACAATAGTTACAATGCTTGAACATGTAGGTTTTAAATGCTGCTGATAAGTTTTGGCTTGCATAGTGATGTAGATAGCCTATACAGTAGGCTTACGTTGCACTATGTGAGAGAGGGGGAGGATTGGGGTTTTAATAAACAGTACTCGTCTATGACATGATAAACATTTCTAGCTTCAATCTTTTATTTTCTATAGGTAACTTTTCATTCTTCTGGGTGCGAAAAGACTTCAGCCTCTGGCGAATGATGAAGATGATGTTCCGTCTGAACTTCCTTGTAATACTCGTCGTCATGGTAACGGACAATAGTTACATGTTATATTACATCTGTGCCATGCATACCTACTGGTTCCTTACTGTATACCTCTTCATGTTCACCTTTCGGTCTTGGAACGAGAATCCCCGTTGGATGGCCATCAAGTTTGTAGTATACCTCATCTGCAATGCAATCATCTTTGATACCCCTTTATTAGTCTACATCTTCAGGCCATTATGGTTTATCTTATCATACGAGGGCTCCCTACACGAATGGCAATTCAGGGCAGGCCTTGACCATTATGCATGCTTTGTAGGGATGCTTTGTGCCTACAACTACCCTTATTATGAACGATGGATGAACTACCTCGACAAGAAGCACATCGATAGACGAGACAAGTTTCTCTCCGTCTCCATCAAAGGATTCATCATCGGTGTCCTCCTTCTCCTCCTTGTTGTTTGGTATCGAGAGTTCATGATGAAAGAGAAGTATGCTTACAACGCCATCCATCCTTACATCTCCTGGTTCCCCATACTCACTTACATCATCCTGCGTAACATGTTTCCAGCTCTTCGTACTAGATACCTCTACTTCTTCACATTCCTCGGGAAGATCACCCTAGAAACCTATATCTCTCAACTCCACATCTACCTGCAGAGCAACGCCAAAGACCTCATCGTCTACATACCAGGTTACCCACTCATGAACTTTGCACTCGCTACAGCAATCTATTTATTCATTTCCTACTGGTTGTTTGAAATCACAACTGTTTTCTCGTCGTATCTATTCCCTCAGTCGATGAAGACTGTAGGTGTACACATTGGTGTTGGGTTTGTGGTTTGTAGTCTAGCTGCCTGTCTAGCTTTGATTCTCAAAGAAGCATCTGTATTTTGATGAGAATCTACTTTTATTAATAATAATAATAATAATAATAATTTACATAAGATTTGTGAGGCACCAAAGCCACTTGACAATCAAATGCTCAAGGCGCAGCTTTGTACATGTATTCATCTTCATTCCGTTATCCACTTTGAAATCTTATATCCCGATGTGTTGGCTCAGTCAGTAGAGCGTCCGCCTCACAACCAGGAGGTCGTGGGTTTGGACCCCGGCCGCATCATACCAAAAGACGTTAAAAGACGGGAGTTGCTGCTACCTTGTTTGGCGTTCAACATTAAAGGGATAGAGCACATGGGCAAAAAGAATTTCCTTTTTCGGTTTAATAAAATTTAGAATGGACTTTAAAAGATTATTATTATTATTATTATTGTTATTATTATTATTATTATTAAATGGTGGGCAATGAATCTGACCCAAATTTCCAATTATCTTAACCCGTCGCATCCAGGATATAGGTCATCCATGTATTAAGGCTGTGAGGTTGAGAGAATTCAATAGTTGAATGTTTACTAATGCCTTATGACCACTGCTGAATAGAAGCATAACCAACTTTTTTCCACCTTGTAGTCTCTACTCACATATTTTCATATTAAATGTGTATATACATGTACATGTATTATATTGGTGAAAAATGCAGAAAGGATTGTGAAAATCATAGACAGCATAAAACACCTTTCTTTCTGTTTTCTGTTGGACTTATAGGCCTTTTCTATTCTTTTACATATATTTTTATATTATTTGTTTCTTTTACTTTTCTAAACTAAATGAAATAATTGCAATATAGGTTTTGATACAGAAGCTACTGCTAAATCTAATCTATAGTATAGACCCACTCATGAGAGTGAGCTCATAGTATATCAGATTGGCTTTTCATGGTTTGTTTTCCTTATTCTTTCATGAAGGCGTGCCTTGAGAACAGCTATGCTTGCCTCTACTCTTATCTTATTGTCTTTGAAAAGATATATATTTATTTTATTTCTTACTAACAATGCAGAATTACTAATCGTGCCTTGCAAAATACAAATTAACTTATTTCATTATTTGTCATTGCATGGTTTAAACCAAGTATGCCGTGGATGCCTATGTTTCTGTATCACAGAAAAGTGATAATACTAATGAAAACAATACCGGTAATCAGTTTTTATACGCCTTTAAGAAGTAGTACAGTACATTTATGTTTGAGAATGTTAACCTTTTCTTAGAAATACTTTGATCTCAAAACATTGTTGATGGTATTGCTTAGTTGCATTCTTTTATTGAGCCAAATCTAAAAGTAAGATATTAAAAAAAAAAAACAATATTGAGTACTAACAATGAAGCTTCATTTCAGGGGGGGGGGGGGGACATTTGAAGAAAAAAAATGAATTGTTACATGTATGTGATATTTGTATATTGTGGCAAAGTTTCAACCAGTCGATTTTACAAACAAATTGCTGAAAACCACATACATGTACGGTACCCTGAAATTTGCCAACAAGCAGGACAGAAGCAGGATAGAAGCAGGATAATGTCGCAGATACCCTAGGCAAACATACTGTACATGTACACGTGTGTAGCTTGGACGGGGTCCAGATATTTCACAGAACACCTTGTTTATTTTTACACATTTTCTTTTTAAGACATGTCATGTATTTGTACATGTTCATATGGGTTGAAAGTTTATTTGATTGTGTTTGAATTCATTTTTGTTGTTGCCAGAATATATAGACTATCTGAACGCTACATACTGTAAAGTGAACAAATGTAGCCAGTACACATTGGCTGGTTTAGGGTTGTTAAAAAACCCTTGCATGGATTTTTAAAGAAATTCACTGTTCTCTTGTTTTTAACTGTATACATTATATATACGGTATATATATATATATATATACATGTATATATTTAGAGTTCAAAGAAAAAAAACACCCCTCTGATTTTCACAGAGTCTTTCAATCCTCTATAATTCTTTGACATAGTACAGGTATATGAGTTTCTGGTTACAAACTGAGGCTGATGATGTTACATGTACATCTGTAGATGAAATACTGTACATAATATGGATAGAAATTAATTTATTATATCCTAATCTACATGTACATTGTAGGCCTATACTTGCTGTACAGTGTATGTGTACATAACTGAAAATGTAATGTGAACTTTCATCTGTACCATTTGTCAAGTGTGTGTGTGTGTGTATTCATTCTAAATGAATCAGAGATCATATGGTAGATGTAATTTACTGTCAATATGTACGTAATCTCGCTAGCAATATTTTGAAAAAATAGCAGAACTTGTTTTCAGGGGCTTTCAAATAGTTTCTTATTGTGTGTCTGTAAAGTAGCACTGCTAGGAGTTTTGTTTTCATCACAGAGCAGTTGAGTATGTTTATATTGATCCAACTATTATTTGTTTAAATTTCTGTTTGGAGTGAATCCCTAAACAGCTACAGTATGTTGTTTGGTGTGTATCCCTAAACAGCTACGTTGTTTGGTGTGTACATGTATGTGTTACAAAGGTCAATCATGACAGTTCACTGCATGTACCATTATTTTACAAAGCAGGGAAAGACTTGAGCCTTGATTATTGTAAAACCTCCCAAATTTTCCTTTGCTTGTTTGGCTGGAATGCTCCCCAGGGAGTGGAGAATGTGCATACATTGTGTGCGGGTAAGCCTGAATCTTATGACCGGGGTAATAATATAACTATCTGTAAAGCGCTTTGAGAGGGCCTTCGGTCCTGAAAAGCGCTATATAAGAACTAGCTATTATTATTATTATTATTATTTGCTTTCCTGTAATTCATAAGAAAATTGTATACATCTCCCTGGTGTTGGTGTTTTCATGTTCTAGTTTGAATTGTCATTCTGAACTAACAGCTGTCGTTTTCTTCTAAGAATCTGGATTTATATATTATTTTATTTAAGTTGATACATAACAAAAAATGATGTATTTAAAGAATATAGTATTTGAAGCACATTGACCCATCCACGGATTTGATGCCCCCCTGGTTCTGACCATATGATACGATATATATTTCAGCTGAATTCTATTTTATTTGAATGCACATTATAATGACTTGTTTTATTTATTATACGTTGGTAAATAGTGTGGAAACCTTATATGTCTTCAGGTGAGGGCCTCTCAGGGGGGGGGGGGGGTAGTTATCATATTCATAAATGTATTTTGTACATTCATATAAATGTACTTTTATGTAAGACTAATCATGAGTGTAAGTTTGATATATAAAGGTGTAATCTGCGCAATATGGAATTAACAATATATATTTTTGAGCACATTCGTGTCAGGTGACGTGGGAGAAAACTACAGTTGTTACTCTGACCCATGTACATGTATGTATGTGTAAACTGTATACGTGTACACACATGCATGTATTCTATGGTAAAGAATGTTGAGGGATGTGTGTGTGTGTGGTGGGGGTTACTGGGAGCTAAAGATAGCAAAGAGAATGACATTCCAATAAAAGGTTTTAAGTTTGTAACGATTTGTCAAGCCTGAATATTTATTCTTTAAAGTACAGAAATTGCATATGTCTTACATATACTTTATAGAACTACCAGAGTTGTAGTGATGTTAGTAGTAGGTGGAGTTAGAGGAGGAGGATGAGGAAGAGATGAGATACTTTTTTTGAGAAAAACATTGAAATGATCCTTTCAAGAATTGCTCTAAGATCATTCAAACGCCTTGTGTAGCAAGCTTATACATGTACAGTATGGTGAGCAAAACATGAACAATAGTTCAGGAGAGATGGCTGTCTCATATTAGCAAATTGGTCAGTTGACAGTGATGTATTCAGGGACAATTATCATTTTCAATTGTCACAAATTGGTGTGTGACAAATTAGTCTTTCAAATCTTCTGAGCCTTGAAATGCATTTGTCTGCATTACTGCATATTTGTGTAGAAATATTGTATGGTATAGTGGTGTACATGTACATGTATGTCCAATGTAGAGGTATGTCAATTTTATAGTCAATCATGTACTGTAGTTCTTATACAATGACATGTAAGCCGACATCATTCAAAACTAGAAAGAATTGTATATAATATTCTTCCCCTATTTTGCCTTATCATGAAATGGTTATTCACACTTTTTCTTATGACTCGAATTATATTCATGGTCATTTTCCATATCATAGGAAATGTGTCGGTTGTCCACACTGATCAATGGCTTTTTAGTATTATCAAAAGCCTGTCCACATTAATAATGGGTTATTGGTATTATTAAAAGCCTGTCCACACTGATAAATGGGTAATTGGTATTATTAAAAGCCTGTTCCCATTAATAATGGGTTATTGGTATTATTAAAAGCCTGTCCACACTGATGAATGGTTCATTTTTATTATTAAAAGCCTGTCCACACTGATGAATGGGTAATTGGTATTATCAAAAGCCTGATCACATTAATAATGGGTTATTGATTTGATTAAAAGCCTGTCCACATTGATGAATGGGTAACTGGTATTATTAAAAGCCTGTCCACATTAATACTGGGTTATTGGTATTATTGAAAGGCTGTCCACACTAATTAATTGGTTATTTGTACTATTTAAAGCCTGTTCGTGAATTATGAATGAGTGCAAACTAAATAGCTGTATGCAGCAAAAGGTACCTACAACTTATCTGTGTTTGGTGTTTTATAAAGTACAGCTTTGTACTACATTTATATGTCCTTTTTATTTCTATTCTACTACTGCAGGTTTCTTTAAGCAGAATATTGCACCATATCTGTATGAGTGAGGCTTCTCAAGAGTGTACCGGTAGATAAATCTGCTGGGTAATTCTTGAATATGGCAATATGGAGATGTGCATTATTAAATGCACACTTAACAAGCAATGAGTATGGAAATGTGTACTGTCAGGTATTCAATGCTCATAGAGCACTTGTAATAACTCCTTGATGTAGCAATGTCAGTATTTGCAATGCGTAAGTATGTATATTATATCTTTGTGAAATAAAATTTCCGGAGGAAAGTTTAATCAAGGATTTGATTGACAAGTGAGATTTCTTAGCTTTTACTGTGTTCAAATTGACTCTGCGTGAGCAAGTAGTTACTGTAACTCTTTGATTATGTATTTTGCTATGCCTGTAGATCCACTGTCTTAGTGGGATTGTTAAAATATGAATCAGTAAAATAATCTAAGTAACCACATATGCATATTTTAAGCAAAACATGTTTTATATAAGGTATGCCTATCAATCATTTTACTATGCACATATGATTACAAACACTAGGCTTGTGGAGGGCCACACATTGTACATCCTACATTGAGAGCTAGAAGAGTGTAACATCATGCCCCTCTGGCTCCAGATGATATGTAATATGCATCCCCCCCCCTCCCTCCCTCTCTCTCTCATTGTCTCCCTCTGTGCCATATGGTCCTTAACACCTCTCTGCAGACTATCCATCGATAGTATACTTCTACTTCGTCTACCCTTCCTACTCGCAATCTATCATGTGAATCTCCAATGCTCCTTTACATACCAAGTTAGCCACAAATCTCATATGCTTAAATATAAAGTCGAGTTCTGGTTATGCGATTGCATTGTGAAAGAAATGGTGTGGAATCGATCAGAAAAGGTTGATCATGTAGCATATAAGTATTGGTGTGGTTCTGGAGTCATCAAAATGATAAGAAATTTGGCCCAGTCTTGGTAAAGTAACAAACACTGTACACAGAAAGATGTATATAGGACTACACAAACATGTGGCTTAAAAATCGGGCCTCAATTTTTTAAACTGTTGTCATATTTAGAATATGAAGGCATTTGAAGAGCCATGCTTTTCAGAGAACATTACGTCTCTGATGTTCTTCCACACTTGCATACCGGTAATAACAATGATAACACTCGCAAATTCTTCTTCACGTCTCCCCGGAACTCAACCTTCTCTTTAATCCTGAGCTCACAAGAAGTTATCAAACATTCAGTAAAACAACAAAAATGGAGGTGTTAAAGTTGCCTTTAATCTGTTCTGTTGAATCATTCTTAATCTAGACAGTGGCTACATTAACACTGCATCAAATCCTACATTACTTCAATCTAATCTACTTGTACTTTTACTACTACACATTTTTACAACAAACACTATTTTCAGACATGAATTTCTTTTGGTTTTAAACAAAATACTGAGCTTTTCTTCTTCCTTTATCACTGCACTGCAGAATACAAGTATGAGCACAGTAAGAAAGTAAAATAACACAGCTTGCATTGAAATAATATATATGTAAAAGATAAAACTGACTGTCCAGTACATTTTAAAAAGAAAATCATTAAGAGGAACAAAAATATTACTATCTCATTCTTTTTCCTTGACTAGGAATATTACACTGGCCTAAATTCTTCCACCGTATGAACCCAGACAAACAACTGTGCATACACAAATAATTTCACAATGCATTATTATCATTCTACCGATAACTCCTGCACAATCTTGATAATTTACTCAAGTATTAACAGCTTCTTTCAAATAATTACTTAATAGCATGTCCTCTAAATGCAGCTAGCTTGCAATCACATTTAGAGATTGAACTTAAAAGGACACTGGTATTCAATTATCTGGGCCATACAATTATACACAATCATACATTCTCAATACAAATCTTATCATGCTTGTTTATACATTCCATATTTAACTAACCTGCTTCATAAAAGGCATACAGCATATCATTTACAACCAAACAATCTCACTCCCAATTCCTTCTGCTGAAAACCAAAAGGACTTGTAACTAATTTTGACAAGTAAAATAAACAACAACGAGGTTGTGGATGTCAGCTTTGAAATGATTAAAAAACAAAAACCACATAACCGTCTTGATAGCCATCTCGGGTTACAACAATTTAAACAAAAATCACATAATAAATTAAAAGAAAATATTACCATTAAAATAGTTAAGAAGTGCATGAAACACTGGTACAATGACACCTTCAACACTCCCAGTTACACCCTTCTGGTTTTCAGCAGATATCAATCCCATTTTCACCTAAAAAGGGATTCATTGTCGACTCTCCTTTAACCAACACTGTACAAAGCTTCTTCCTATTTATGCAGCTTTTATCCACCTCACATTCTCTGTCTGACTTTCATTCCCAAAGTAATAAATATTTGGTTAAAAGAAAGAATAGATCTTCATAGTTATTCCAGAAATTACAGAATAAAGCTTCAGAGAGACATGCTTTCTCAGCCTTCATTTAGCACTTTTAAGGAGGGACCATGTCTGTATCGGCAAGACAAATTACCATAGCAGAATTGGACATCCATGTACTACCCATGTCACAGGACATCCTCTCATAGCACTATCTATCATCATCATCATCCTCATCATCATCACATCTAACAGGTATGAATATGAAAACTTTGGACATGTTTGCTAACTAAAGAATGATGTTGCGGGATTAGCACACTGTATAAGGACTAAACAGCTGGGGACGAAGCAAGTAGCAGATGTCGTCAAACAATGTCCTAGATGAATATTATAGTCTACTCAGCATCAGACACAACTTCAACTACAATTTCCTAAGCTAATTCCTGAACAAGTACATACTCTCAGTTTTGGTCAGTGAAACAAGGTCCACTGTCTAATATTTGTAAGATATCAAAAAATACCAGCAGGACAGACTAATAATGCCTTTGCTTTCATGAACCTGACAGGGATATGACAGGGATATGACAGGGATATGACAGGTTGTAATGCATTTATTGATATGAACCCTGAAATGGATTACACTAGTCTCTTGGGGGCTTGGGATGATTATTTTAGAATGGCTGAAGATAAACAGAGGATAAATGTACAATATAGAGGCTTCTGATGGGATAAATGAAGCCTAATGACTTCGTCTTGATAGTGAGTTGAAATCTCATTCATGGATTGGTGGAAAATATCAATGTATATTGTAAAAGGATCACACAAATCCCCATGCCTTACTCTAGAGAGCTTCTCTTCAGAATCGCTATAGAGTGGCAGAGGATACCATGTACATTCACATACAGAAATTAGACACAGCAAAACGTCTTGGCTTTAATAGCGCAGAAGCTCTTTAGTCACAATGGCCTTGCATCAGTAGAGAATCCATGTACATTGTGGAGGCTTTCAGAAGGGTCAGATAAACCTCAATGCCTTGAATCCGAGGAGCTTTCTCAACATGGCTTTTGAGAAGCAGATAGCGATATACAATATACAAGATCATAGAGGCATTAGATACAGCCAAAGACTTCATACATGCAGCAACTATATGTAGGAGGTTCGGCAAAATTGCTTTGGTTTGATGAAGGGCCATGTACAATGTAGAGCCTTTTAAAAGGACTAGACGAAGCCGCACGCCTTAGTCTTCATACATGTAGCAACTACATGTAGGAGGTTCTGCAACATGGCTTTGGTTTGGTGAAGGGCCTTGTACAATGTAGAGCCTTTAAAAGGGACTAGACGAAGCCAAACGCCTTAGTCTTGATGGCCAGTAAGAGCTTCTTCTTGAGGATGGCTTTGGAGCTGTAGAGTGGGATGTAAAGACGACTGATACAGGTGTTTGCCGTAGGGAGGTGGTTGTCATCAGGGGGACGTACTGTGATGGTAGGGAGGGGCTGGAAACCCTCCTCGCTTGCTGGTAGACTGGGGCTTGAGGTCCAGAAATACACCTGTACGGAGGGAAGACGAAGAGAGACATTTACCACTGATCTCAATCAAGACAGATTTTCTTAAATGTTATTTACAGCACCATGATTCGCATCTTCCTATTATCAAAGAGCAGTCACCAGTGCTTGTATACCATATGTGAAATACAGATATTTTAATCATGTTTCCTATATATATGTATATATATATATATATATATATATATATATATATATATATACAGTGTGTCTCTAAAAAAAGTAAACCCAACTTCAACGGCAAATTTTCAGAAAACTATAAAATATTTACACATTATTTTTTATGGTTAGATAGTCCAATAAGTCCTCTGTCCAATGATACCACGTAGGTTATGTAACTCTCATGCATGACTGAGCATGATTCAACTTAGTGAATGGGTGTGAAATCATCACTGTGGCAAGTTAGAATTGCACTGGAAGTTCATCAATCAAATGACATAGGAAATGTCTGATTTCTTACAAGCATAGCTTAGGGATGTGTACCCTCGACATGACCGCCATTCCTTTCCATGCAAAGCTCGCAACGCCTCCTCATGTCCCTGACAGCACGCCTGATCATTCCCTGATCTTGTCGTAATCGGTTCACTTCACCTGTTATCTGTTGCCTCAGCTCCTGAATTGTGGCCGGTGGGGTTTGGAACACTTTTCCTTTAAGATACCCCCAAAGAAAGAGATCGCATGGTGTCAGATCTGGTGAACGTGCAGGCCACTCAACTGGGAAATGAAGAGCAATGATGCGATTGCCAAAGAGTTCAGTCAAACGATTCCTCACAGCAATAAGTCTGTGGGCTGGGGCCCCATCCTGAGCCCACCAGGCCCTGCGGAATGCTCCACGTCGTTGTCGGGGGAAGATCTGTTCCATCTCAGGCACAATAAAATTGTTCAGCATGTCAAGGTACGCCCTGCCATTGATGTTGCCTTCAAAAAAGTAAGGTCCCACCAATGAACCATTGCCACAAAGACCAATCCAGACACTCACTTTCTCCCTGCTCATGTTCTTATTAAAAGCATATCCCGGTGGATGATGGAGTTCAGCATACTCGTGCTCATTGTGGGTGTTTACCATTCCATCCATGGAAAACGTTGCTTCATCCCCGATGGTAAAAAACTGGAGGAACTGTCGATCTCGGTTGCACCGGTTCACAAACCATTGTGAAAATTGAAGTCGTCTGGGAAAATCAGCTGGTAGAAGTTGGTGCTGAACATGAACATGATATGGATGGAGATGCAAATCCAGTCTTGCTATTCTGTTAAAAGTTGCGCGTGGTATTCCAGTATCATTTCTCCTGGTGCTTATGCGTGGGTGGGCTTGGATGGCCTCTCTTACCACTTGGATGTTTTCAGCAGACCTCCCAGTTCGTCTGTGGCCAGAGTGTCCTTTATTCCTGTTCAAACTGGTTCCGTGATCAGCATACTTTCTCACATTGTACCAGATGGCTCTTTTTGTTGGAGGCTGCCTCTCGGGGAACTGCACCCGAAAAGCATCTTGAACTTCCACGAAACTTCTTGTTTCCTGGTATCGAGTTACCAGGAATACTCTCTGCTTAATTGTCAACTGTACCATGTTTGGAAAGCATGTGAAGTGTGCCTGTGTTAGGAACAACCTTTGCTGAAGTTGTTATGTAATCATAGGCCTAACATGTGACAAAGATTTAACTTCAAATAGGCCCTGAATGCATGACAATAGCAAGAAATAACTTGCCACAGTGATGATTTGACACCAGTTCACTAAGTTGAATCATGCTCAGTCATGCATGAGCGTCAGATAACCTAAGTGATATAATTGGACAGAGGACTTATTGGACTATCTAACCATGAAAAAATAATGTGTAAATATTTTATAGTTTTCTGAAAATTTGCTGTTGAAGTTGGGTTTACTTTTTTAGAGACACACTGTATATATATATATATATTCATATTAGGCAAAATGTTGAAATATTATTGTAGTAAAGAGTACAGACATGTGACATAGTATAAACCAGATGGATCAATGTCTACTTACCAAGTCTTGTTTCTGTTGAGTGGTCATCTTTTCTACAATACTCCAGAACCATAGTTTGAAGGTAGATAGCTTATCATTCCCCTCATTGCTATGACCATCACCTAAGGATAAAACAAAATCATACCATCTCATTTATCTAATTTCATTCAGATATGTTGATAAGCTTAAATCGTCACAAAATCAAGAATATAAACATCATCTTGAAAGTCTTCACTCCACGATGTAAAGTGAATCATGTATAAGTAACGATCTGTATATGAACAGTTGCCATATACATATACAGTGCTTTGCATGGCTTGAAATTTGATCGTTTTTACATGTAAATGTATGAGCATGTTATAATACACAAAAAACTCCACTTATTACAATGAATTTTCTGAACAAGTTGGTTGTATGACCTTGTAAGAAGATATCTACTTGAACCAATGATCAATGGATATAATCATAGAGAAAGAAGCTAATCCAGTTGAATAAAGGAAATATGACTACACTCACCTAGTTTGCCTGTCTCGTCATTGAATGTAGTGTAGCTGATCAACATCTGGACGTTGACTTGACCGCATCCATTGACCAGTAACCTGAAGTCCTCAGCGGTTAGACCGTCAAGAGAGTTACGTGGCAAGACATCAAACAGTCCTTGCCTCATGGACTGGATGGATGAGAGATAAGAAGATTCCATTTTATACAATACTTTGACTGGTTTTCATTTCAAAAAGAAGATATTTATGTGGCAGCAAACTGTGTGCTACATGGCATACATTATTTTTACTTGGTTCCACGTTTAGAATAGGGGGGGGGGGGTCTCGCAGAACTCACATTTTAAGGTTAAATTTCTACCACAGCTTTATCCAATGCCAATGCCATTAACTTAAATTCAATTCCACAGGAATGGAATAAAATCGGAATAGGACACTGAGGAGGGGTAAACCTCTCACTGATCAAGAATATTCAAACAAACATGGAGCACTATTCTTGTCTACACGGAGTGATTATCACCATCTTATACTCTGCAGACTACCTCTCATTCTCAATATCAGTTTGATGGATACCTTTGTATCATAGGAGCTACAATGTAAAACTTACCGTTAGACACTTGTGTGCCACTGTCACCATCTTGTACTCTGCATAATTCCTGACATACTCAAAGATATTGTCTGTGCTGACGCTGACCCTGCTCCCTCCCGGTATCAGATCTACCGTCTGACCTCCCTCCTCCTTACTAAGCTGGATAGAGAATGTGAGCTCCATGGCAGCGATGCTTGCATCGTGACCCCTCTCAGCATCCAGGAGCAGCTGACGTAGACCCTCGTACAGGGTAGAGTCAAAGAAAGCTAGATCATGCCAACCAATCTGAAGAAGAGTCATCAAAGAAAATCAATTAAACAAAATGAAATGAAATGACATGAATCTATGACTTTCATTAATATCACATTTGAACAGTTCTGAATTTATCACTTACAATACACTTTTTCCAGGTCCCCTTTTGAGAAGTTTTTCATCATTAAATCAAACAACAAACTGAACAAAACTGCTTATATAATGTATAGCATTTATTAGAATGGTAACATACATTTTTTTGTTCTCCAAATTCCCATAAATTTGAATACAAAGTTTCCATCAATTTCAATAAATAAACCTACTGTATAGATATACTGTGATAACACAACAAGGAAATACACATGGTCATCTTGTGACCTTTACACTGACCTTTCTTCCAAGTAGAAACTTGATGACATGTCGGTTGAGGGTCAAAGGACACAACTCATTCTGAAGCAAGCAGAATCCTAAAATCCTGTTAGATAAGAAAGAACACAAAGAGATGACACACTGTACATCTGTTGCTTCTATATATTTATTTACTTCTGCATGGTTCAACAGTTTAAATAGTATGATCATGACCACTACAGTAGTAAGCACTAGATTACGATCATTATAGAGTCAGATAGTAGAAGTTATGCACAATACATGTAGATATCAAGACTTATTAGTACCAATTCACATAGACATTGCAGGACTACTTTCTGGACCAAGAGGTTTCCTTCATTTATTGCAAAATGGTATCAAGAAGATACACTGGTCTACATATAGATACTAGGAGTAGCGAAGGTTACAGGTAGGTCACTGGTGTCTATGACTGATAATTATTTGACAGAAGTAACTACTTTGTATCATAGATTTAGAGTTTTAAAAAATAACTTACAGAGACCAAAATGTGATTTATTGCTAACATGATGACAAAACTGACCTGCCCACATTCCTGAAGACATTGAGCCTCTCTCCAGAGTTCTTGCCCGGTCTAGGAGTGTAGAAGCCTCTCTTGCCCGGCTGAAAGAACAAGGCCTCACCATCCCGATCAGCATCATCACAATCCTCCGTCTCTATTGCCATGGCAGATGATGTTGATCCACTGCCCTCATTCTTGCTCTTCTCTCTCTCTCCCAGACCGAAGATATCCAGGTCTAGACGGCTGCTGTCTGTAGGATCATCACGGCTGTGGAGGAGGACGGAAAAGGAATGGATGCTGGGAGATTAAAGTGGGATGAAAAATAGCGAGCTCCATCAAATCTTAATATTTCTCCAGGAATAGTTTCTTGATTATGCTCATCTTATAGCACTACCGGTGGACAAATGTTTACCATACTTAGCCCCTTCTGTGCAAATGAGTTTACAATCAGCTACCATAAATGACTTGAAAATTGTTTTTCCTATTTATCCCATTATAATTTGGAATGACAAATTTTCTGAGAGAATAATCTTTACAATGCATGCACCTGCCCCTGTTTAGATGGAAACATTTATTTGTATAAACTCAAATTTAAAAGTGAATGTTTGAATTCCTGAGTACGATTTTCCAACTACAGCATAGGAAAGGTGAAGATCAACACTTCTCATACAGACTACATGACTTTTTGGTTTAATATAAACAAAGGATCATTAAAGCAATACTATTTTGACTTGACTACAGTGAGGAAAGTTCTTACCTTCCACGAGAGAGGATGATATCAACAGCCTCCTCCACTCGCTCTCTGAGAGACTCCTCACTGGCGAGAAGCAGTAGCAATCTGGCCGGTGGTAGCTCTAACAACATCCCAGTGATCATACTAGCAAGAGACTGCAAGGAGTAAAAGACAGGTGGTATCAGGCCTGGTTGAATCAAGCTCACAGGTATATATGCTATGTTTCACGGTTATGGGTTCTCGAATCTAAACAGAATTTAGACAGAATCTAACAAAACTTACAATGAATGTTAGAAACTACAAATGATATGATGGTGATTTTACAAGTAATAAAATTGGGAAAAAGCATAGACAAATGAGGATACCATGACTGGAGCATATGAAGCAAAGGAACAAAATCTCCACATATCAATATCCACATTGTCACTTTTTATTTTGTCTTAACTTTGCTGGTTCCCACGATCCTATGATATAACAGGATCCACATTCACCACATGATCAACATCTTATTGAATACACTCAAATTCTAGATTTAATACAATATGGTAGAGAAGATACTCACTGGCTGTAGAGCATAGACTCTGGGGAAGAGTCTTTCACCAAGAGCCTGCTTGGATGGAGGAAGCGGTTCATAATCTGCACTGCGGTCATCAGAGTTAGCGCTGTCACGAGGATAGAACGGCCTTGCATCGTAGGACAGAGTGTTCCTATCACGATCCAAACTCTGGGCCATACGTCCACTGCCTGTCCGTAGCTCAGAGCGACGTTGACGTTCTCTCTCCCTCTCCCGGCTTCGTAGCCTCTGGATAAGACCTGTCAAAATCACGGATTGAAAAATATTACTAGAGTTTCAATCTCTCCTTGATAATACAACCTAGGTTTGTTAATGTTTACATGGTGTATAAAAGAAGTACTCTCTAGAACTAAAGATATACTTCTGTTAAAGCACCACTGCACTACTTATAGCTACTTGTGCCTTCTATATAGCAAACAATGCCTAATCGGTGACCATGTTAGTTGAGAGTTGATTTGATGAGACAACCACCTGCCAATGACCTTGCAGGGAGGTCTATTCCCTCCTGGCCAAACTAGTGCAGAGAGGCCTTAATACTCGACAATAATATATCAACTTTCAAATCATTATGTACACTCCTATCATGAAAGTACCAAAAAAGATTAAGTTTGCAGTGTGGCAATAATGCAAGATTAAAGGAGATCATGCCAAAACAACTGTTCAAATTTTGGAGCCAGTGTAACTTCAAGATTGTAATTTACCTGAAACCCTCTCTTTGTATATAACTCTGCAAAGTAAAGATATAAATAAACTAGATGGAATTTTGACTGCGCGCAGTCGAAAATGATGCCTCCGCCATAGAGCAATTTAAACACGTTTGGAGTTTAAATCTCCAGTGGTTCTTGAGATATCATGATAACAATCTCAATGTATGGAATTTCATAAGTTGACCTCTGTGACCCTTGACCTTTGACCTACGTGCTCCAAAATCTAATCAGATTGTCTTCCTATGGTGATACACACTATCATTAAGTTTGAAGTTTAAATCTCCAGTGGTTCTTGAGATATTATGATATGGTGATACATACTATCATTAAGTTTGAAGTGAAAATTCTCCAGTGGTTCTTGAGATATCGCGATAACGATCTCAATGTATGGAATTTCATAAGTTGACCTCTGTGACCCTTGACCTTTGACCTACGTGCTCCGAAATCTAATCAGATTGTCTTCCTATGGTGATACACACTATCATTAAGTTTGAAGTTTAAATCTCCAGTGGTTCTTGAGATATTATGATAACAATCTCAATGTATGGAATTTCGTAAGTTGACCTCTGTGACCCTTGACCTTTGACCTACGTGCTCCAAAATCTAATCAGATCGTCTTCCTATGGTGATACATACTATCCTTAAGTTTGAAGTTTTTACATCTCCAGTGGTTCTTGAGATATCATGATAACAATCTCAATGTATGGAATTTCATAAGTTGACCTCTATGACCCTTGACCTTTGACCTACGTGCTCCAAAATGTAATCAGATTGTTTTCCTATAGTGATACACACTATCACTAAGTTTGAAGTTTAAATCTCCAGTGGTTCTTGAGATATCATGATAACAATCTCAATGTATGGAATTTCATAAGTTGACCTTTGTGACCCTTGACCTTTGACATACGTGCTCCAAAATCTAATCAGATCGTCTTCCTATGGTGATACATACTATCCTTAAGTTTGAAGTTTAAATCTCAAATGGTTCTTGAGATATCGCGCTAACAAACTCAATACAAGGAATTTCATAAGTTGACCTCTGTGACCTGTGACCTTTGACCTACGTACTCCAAAATCTAATCAGATAGTCTTCCTATGGTGATAAATACTATTCCCGAGTCTTAAGTTTAAATCTTAAATGGTTCTTGAGATATTGTGATAACGGTCAAACGGGACGGACGTACGGACGTACAGACGGACGTACGGACGGACGTACGGACGGACGTACGGACGTACGGACGTACGGACGGACAACCCGAAAACATGATGCCTCCGGCACCACCTTCGGTGGCGGAGGCATAAAAATAATGTTGCACCAATAACATGCAATCGCAAAATTTCACTGGTTGCTGTCATTTAGTTTTCACAAAATATTTTAGAACCTCATCATCAGATAACAGAATCTTTTTACTGAAAATACTGAACAACTTACTGTATTGTGGTCCCTTGTTAGAGCCCTGGCAATCATCTAGATTAGGTAGTCTTTCAGGAGACATGAGAGCTTCAGCAATGGCTGTATAGAAGCTCCTTGCCACTCCACTGCCTTCTCCTGGTTCATCCTTGAAGGTCACCTTCACCCGATGCACTGCGAGGGGCAGACCAGCCAAGTTGCTGCTGCTTCGACGATTGAAATGAGTGTTCAGCTGGCGCATGGTCTGCTGTATCAGGAGGTCACGAGAGCGCTCCACCTAAAGAGTGATAATCATCATGAGTGGTTTACAGTCATGTTACATGGGAGGTGAGGAATGGAATTAATTGTGGGATAAAAACATTAAAATTAGATCTAAGGGGATTGGGTATCTTTGTCTCAGATTCTAAAAAAATCCTGGAATTAGCTCATGCTGCAATCAAAATTTAGGGTCAGTCAGGAATCCCATGACTTTTACAAGCTGATCACTTGTCTGATTATCAAGATATTTATGATTGGAATTCAAAATTTCAAAAACCGTTTTCCCAAAATTTTTATTACACTACAGTCTATTGGGGAAAATGAGTACGGTAAAACCGGTCACTCAAAGATTTTTACTTTTTTGAGGCACTTCATGATCATTTTGAAGCGCAACTTTTTTTAGAGCTTCAATATTACACCGTATCACAGAGGCTGGTAACACCTAGGGCCATGTATCTCAGAGTTTGCTTTGTTAAACATTGCCTTTAATAAGATTTCACTCTTCTTGCATCTAGTACTTGTCACCTGTTTATTTTTAATTTGAAATATATGAAGCATTTTGATGGACCTACCTCTAGAGTGAGATCCTTAGAAGTGTGGTTGTTCCTGAGTTTCTCCATCTCTCTTCTGAAGCGAGACTCCTTGACTTCAAATCCTCCTAGCTCACTCAGAACTGATCCAGGCTCTGCTCCGACATCCTCCAAGAAGACATGGCCAAAGAGCTCTAGACATAGACGCCATCTACCAAGTAACATGTCAGCTGATAATAGTGGAGACAGGGGCCTGAACAAATACAAGAATAAAGCCACGAAATCAATGGAGGAAGGACTTGTATAAACGTATTGAAATTACCTGTCAAAGAAAATCTGCAAATTATCATTGGTTTAAACAAAATCTAAAGGAAATGACGGTAAGAATCACAGAACAAAGAGATGGTTTTGAATGGGTTACCAAGTTACCCAAGTTCAAGATCTAGCATTTCTGTAGTGACTATAGGTAAGCACCCATCCTAAGATACAAAATTCCTTGAATTTGGACATTGAGCAGAAGGTCTTTAACTGTTTGCAAGCATGAACTTACACTAACAAATAAGTAATATAACAGTGTTAACAATCATATCGCATTTAATGTAGACCTTAATATTTACCTTGTGAGTCTGATGACTTGATCAAGGTCACTAACAGGTTGTATATCAGCTCGATCAACAGTGATGGTTGTTGGACCACCTCTTCCGGGAGCTTTCCTCCTTCCACCTTCTTCAGGATCAGCTCCATCAAGGTCTCTCGTAGCCGATGTTGGACGACTACGTTCTCCTGTCTCATGATTGGACAATTCTAAGGGTGAAGGTTCTACAGCTGGTCCACTATTGGCAGATTCAGAGAGGTTCATTGGGCTAGCTTGTACAGCCTGTTCTCCTCCTACATGGAAGAGGGCACCCAGATTAACATTCCTGCTAGGACCAGATAGATCTTCACTGTTGTCCCTAATAGGGTCCGGTGGAAGGGGTATCTCTGAAACCCTCACTGGACCTGGCTGATTGACCAAAGGTTCCCTACTTCCTGAGCTATGGGCTTGAGGGTCCCCTGCAGATTTATCCACTGATCCAGTAGTGCGAATCACACTTACAACGGTTGCAGAAGCACCTCCTGCAGTGGCAGCACCAGAAGGTCCTGCTGAGGATGCCTGACTACCGCTGCTACCGATAACGTCCAGAGCACTTGGCCCTGGATCACCGCCCTCACCTTCCCTGTGTGAAGGTCCAGGGCCACCAGCAGCTGAAGAGCCGGGGATGGCTTCACTCAAGTTCCTAGGCTGATCTTGCAATGTGGTCTTTGGTGCTGATACTGGACCTGACTGACTGTAATCAGATGATGGACCAGAGAAGCTGCTTGATAGGAATGATGATCCTGATGGCTGATAGGGGTCACTGCTTTCTCCCAAGCTTTGGCTGACCGGCAGTGTTGATCCTGTGGCTGCTGAAACTGCACCTGTAAGAGAGGTTGGAACATTCAAACATTTTTCACACAAAAATGAAAAACATGAAGAATTTGTAAAATTATCAAAAAATTGTCAAGAAATTGTCATTTAACATTTGCATCAATAGCCAAATCTAATTCTATAACACTCTGCAGTCCAAAGAACCATTTAATCTAAAAGAGGAATAAAAACAATGATTTCCACCTTTATGAAAATCTAAGATGGGTATCTTCCAAATAAATATCTTACCTGATGTTACTGAGGAGGATTCCTGAGTATCTGTTCTCTCCTCCTGAGCCTGAGGGGCTGGTGGTCCAGCATCTGCTCCATCTTCCATCTCTTCTTCTTCCTCCTCTTCCTCTTCCTCTTCTTGGTCATCATCCATCCCTGGCTGACCCAAGACCTGACGTTGAGACACACTCATCTGGGTCGGTAAGATCTCCAGGAAAGACTGGTGTACTGTCACAGATTGGTTGTGACCTATGAATCAAGGACAAACAGTGAGAGTAAGCAACATGGTGAGCAAAATATCGCTTAAGACTGGTGCACTGAAACAAAGGTGACCCAAAAATTTGGTACATTTCCATGAAAAAATGCATAATGGGGGTGTGGTATAGTGGAGTGCAGTGGTGGAAACTGTCATTATAATTGATAACATTGCCTACTAGCTATGCAAAGGAGAGAGATGGGCACAGAAAATTTTAAATTAAGGATATTAAAAGAAATATGATGATTTGGTGGTTTTTTCACAGACAATTATGACTGAGTAGAAGAAGTAACAAATGCCACAACTAGCAAAATCCGATATGAACTCACCTAAAGCTACATCAGAGTCTGAAGGAAGGACTGGGTTCTGAGGCATTCCAAAGAGCTGTTCTTTGGTGGCACTTGGCTGCAGTAGGTGAGGTCTATCAGCCAGGGGTAGGGCTTCTGAGAGAGGAGTCTCAATGGGATCAGGCGGTGGGCAACCTAGGAAGGTGGTGGAATCAGATCGGACAAAGAACGGATGCTTGCGACCAGACGTTATCATACGCTCCTCTTCACCACCTTCAACATCCATGTTGGAATCACTGGCTTCTCCTGCATCAACATCCTGGGAGAAACACCAGGAACGTTTGCTTGAGGATGGCTGAGTAGGTTCAGAAAGTGGCTCACGCTCAAAGCAGCGCAAGAAGTAAATGCAGGAGTCTAAGACATAGGCGACATGCTTCATAGCAGCAATGTCGAGCATGGGGAGAGATCCCAGGTGTTCACTGTTATGAGATCTCATGAGTGATAGCACATACCGGAGGTAGTCCATCATAGAGCCGTGGTCCTCTGTGTTACTATGGGTTCCTCGTCTCCTGCTCTCCAGGGAGTGCTGGTAGGCCGTCTCTTCCCGGGCTGCAGCATCACGGGCTGCACCCCTCAAAGAGCGCATATACTGACTGCGCATAGGATGGGTTGGATGGGAAGGATCAGTAGCTCCCATCAATGCCTTGCCGTATCGGAGCTGAGCCTCCGTGCTATTCATTACACATACCAACCAGTCCCATGTGGGTTTTAGACTGCACTGAACATAGTTCTGTTGTGGAGATAAAGATATGAAACATGTACTTAACTTCATATCTAATATCAGATTAGAAATTAATTATACCATTAATTAAACTATTTATGTTTAATTCAAACTTTACATGTAAAGAACTAAATGTAAGTGGGAACGAAATCAAAACCAAATAAATTGCTATAATCAGGTTACCCCAAGTACTTTGCATATGTGATAAACTGATTTCCTTGGTACATCAGGTTTCATTTGCCATACCTGCAGCTCTTTGGCATTGTCAGCTGTAATCTCCAGTGTTTCAGTGAGGGGTTCTGGAGCCTTGTAGTTGGGAAGGGAGGCCATCAGATCAGAGACCTGTCGGAGTACGATGCCAAACGCCCTCGATAGGCGGCTTGCTGTGGTGGTGGGCGCGGTCTCAGTTGAGCTGGAACTAGGTGGGGTGGGGTTTGCTGCAGCAGAGATGGTCGTTCGTCTCAGGTTGGAGGGGTCTATGTAGATTAGACCTGTAGGTACTAGAGGAAAATTAAACCAAATACGAATCAGTCTCCAAAAACTTTATTAGCTAGTAGATGGTTTGGGTTATTAGACAAAGTTACTCCACAGGCAGTGTAACAGAATACAATAACTTTGCGGATACCATATCCACCCATTTCTAACCCAAATGAGCAATTTTTTTTACGTGTAAAATGATTAGGGATACCAATGTTTCCTGAGTTTTCAAGTGAGATGCATGGTTCTCAGCAGCACAAATCTAGGATATTTGACCGTATAACTGATATGAACATTTTAGAGCAAGAATTGTTAGATGATAGGGATGGTGTGTGTCACTTACCGACAGGAGGAGCACTACTGGCAGATCCTAGCACCTCGTTGATCACACCTGAGCCGCTAGTCCTGGGGTTGCTTGAGGACAGAGGCTGCTGATTACGGAAGGCCCATTGGAGGGGGTGTGGAGGCTGGCTCGATCTACATCATAAAACACAATACAAAGGAAAATAGTTTTAAAAACTCATCTTGAATACAATCAAATAGCTAAAATCATTGCCACTTTTTAGAACATCTGATAAACTATATCAGTATTAATTGTTGGAGCCTTATATCATTTATGAAAATTGATTACAGAATTTAGAAATACATGTAATACATTTCCTGCAAAAATCTAGTACTATCATACAAGTAGGACTGGTAACTGAATTTATCTATGTAAATTTACCTGAATTCATGTCTTCAATTAAAAAAATTTAAAAAAATTTCATTGCACATGAATGTACTGAAATATTAAACTTGTATTTTTACTAGCTACATGTGCATGGCATAACAAACTTGGCATTTTTAGAATAGAGTTATGTCTACAAGATTTTAACACTCGACAAGCACTGATGCCAAAAGTAAAATACTATTATTTTTTCTTAAATAGACGAAGAACAGATTGGGTATTGCCATCTTCATTGTATCCCACCTGTTTCCTTCAATGCTTTGTGATCCACTAGCACTGGCTGTGGTAGGTCTCTCCAGTGAGTCTTCATTGAAAGCCTGATCGACCGTCTCCTCTTCTACTTCATTGAACTCATTGTCGCTATCCTCCTCCTCTTCCTCTTCAGCTTCATCCGCATTGGAGGACGATTCGTCTTCTGAGAAGAAGAGTGATGCTAGTCCACCACCTGAGAAAGGTAACACAAGGAGAGAGAGAGAGAGAGAGAGAGAGAGAGAGAGAGAGAGAGAGATAAGCCTCAAGCAGTCATCAGCCCACAACAGCACAAGAAATAATTCTGAGCATTTTCAATTAATGAAATGGCCTTGTTATCCAATCAATTTCTAGGGGAAATCTTACATAAGAATCCCTTTGTTTCATATCTGGGAGATTTCAATTGAGTGGTGTTCTGATAAAGTTAAGGGATAATCTTTTCTTATTGAGTACATAATTAGTATGAAATGAATAGAGTTGATGCTGTAAATCTCATTCGGAATTCACAATTACAGATTTACAATTGATCTCGAAAACATAAAGGTGGTGGTGGTGGTTATTTTACCCAATTGCTAAGAAAGCATAAATGCTTGTAAGTAAGGAACCAGACGTGTTCTATTTTCTAAGAAGTTCCAACAGGAAATACAGATTCAGTATTACCCTATCAGCACCAAAACCAATCTCATTACAAACTGCCTGAAACCAAATCTTACTTTGAAAATTTCTGAATATCTTTTTGAAACCATGCAAGGTGGAAAGTCATTGTTACTTTGCAATAATTTACTTGCAATATAGCGAGTAGCTACTGAGTATAGTCTGTGTCTGTGTCTGTGTTTAATAGGTACAACATGAACATTCTGCTCTTGAAATACCTAATCAGTACCACACAGTGTCTGAAAAACATGACTCTATGGGAACATACCAGCATCTGATCCAGCATTAGGAGCATTGACCCCACCCCGACGGCTGGAGTCCTGAGCACTGCTTTCATGGTCTTGGTTGCTATGGTTACTTTCACTATCATAGTCACTCTCCGCCAGCAGGTCGAGGTCCATGTCACTCTCATTACCAGCTGCAGGAAAAGAAATCAAACTTATCAAACCAGGAATGTGCAAGAAATAATTGCAGTCTGAGCATGGCAGACAAAGGTCATTGCAGACCAAACTGTGAAATACATGGGAGACAAAATACTGGATACGTTCTTATAAAAGTTATGTAATCATTATTCATTTATGCACAGGCATCACTGCTTGTGCATAAATGATACGCAGGTGGAAGTATTCTTTGAAAAGGGGAAATAAAGGCTTCTTATGTAGCAATAATAACTAGGTAATATTTTTAGATTCAATAGTTAGATAAACAATATCCTAACATCTAAAGTGGCTGACACACAAATCAATATTCAGTATTGCATGGGGTACTTGGCATATCAACGATCTTGCAATGTGCACTCTCTCTTCTCCAAAAGGGGTCACCATAAAGAGGTAGGCTGGCATATAAAATGCATTAAAGTAATGCCATTTACTTGGCTTGAATATGAAAGTTCTTGGTTCATTTTTGAAGGAGTTCAGAGTTGGAAGGTTTCGAGCTTACCATCATCTTCTGGTTGGTCATCTTGATTGGGTTGCTCTCTAGGATCTCTGGGTGGGGCACTGCTGGAATCCCTCTCACGTACATGAACGTCACTAGATACAACCACTATGTCTCCTTCAACCATGTCAATCTACAAACAATGTACAAAACAAAATACAGGTATAAAAGGGGATTCCCCATCATCCTCATTCACAGGCAACACAATCCTTCACTCCACCATGGAATACCACTCAGAATATTTACCATTAAATTTAACATACCCATATTTTGCAAGACAGTAAATCAAAAAAAGGTCGCATGACAATGGATGGATTATCCATCTTGAGGACCTTAGAAATGGTGAAAACTATTCCACATCTGTTTTGCTGATCACACAAGACATGCTAATGACAGATCATATTTCCACTTATCAATGCTCCTTACCTCTTCTCCTTCTCCGACCTCCATGTCTTGATCATCTTCATCAATGGTTCGATTACGAGTGATACGATGTGAGTGTGTCCTTAGAGAGGGGGCGTGGTGATGAGTGTGGCTGGAGCTAGGCTGGTTGCTAGAGGCTGATCTCATGGGGAGGGGCTCAGTAAAGAACAGCTCTTCACTTCCCTGAAATACAATATTGATGAATAATCAAATAGAAGGTTATGAGGTGAAAAATACACTACCTGATTTGTTTTACCTCCACATGATTTAAGAATAACAAAAACATCATGTTCAGAAGTCGCAATCAAGCCCCTATGCTTTTTAGGGGAGGAACATTAAGGAAGTATTACTCTGTAAGTTTCTCTAATACTAAATACTGGAACTTTTCTATCCAATGTTAGTTTTAATATCTGGTCCCATACATGCATATGTGTTTGGAATTTGTATATTTTCATTTAACAATTGGTCAAAACGACTTCTTAATCTGTTTCCATACATGATTACCATCTCAGAAAAATAATTATATGCATTTTTCTCTGACAACAATATCATTCTGGTCTTGGACATGATACTAACCTGAATGGCATCAGCATGGCTGTTAAAGAGAGGGAATGGGGAGGAAGGTCTAGCTACCCCCATCCGTACAGGTGCAATCAAAGAATCTCCAATCTCACAGAGTTCAGTGATGGACTGGTGGATCAAAGCCTGGAACACTCGCTTGCAACGCTGCACTGGCTCAGACCTAAACAGAAAGAAGAAAGATAGTAGTTACATTACACATCAAATATTCATGAGGACTGAAGCACTTCTGATCACAATAATTCCTAAAGGGCTGAAAAAGAGAATCAAAAAGATTTTTTACGTTAAAATTTAAATGGATAACACCAATAATGTAAACGATAACATGAAAGTGAGGGTTCAAACAGTAAAATTAATTAGGTCTTTAACATCTAGTTTCATTTACCACAATGACGTCTACATAATTTTACTTTTCATATACACACAGGTAAAAAAATAAAATTGTTTTGGTTTTACCCTTTGAAAAAAAACATTGTAAATTTTGAAGATGACATGTAAAACTTACAGCTTTTTGCCAGGAGTCATCTCAATGCTGAGCACAACAAACACTCTCGCGACCGATCGGATGAATCTACGGGCTACCTCAGCAGCTTCAGCCTTACTGGTAGAGGATTGGGCGTGGCGGAGACGACGGATCAATGTGGTCAGAAGGGTGTCCAGATCCTGAAAGATAGATAGAAGAGAGAATAATAAATGATAAGGGTTTAATATTGATGCAGCCAATGTTTTAAAACTGCAGAAGTAAAATGAATGGATTTTTTTTTTTTTAAAAGCTAATGTATGACATTAAATTTTATCTTTACTTTCTACTCTCAAAGGAACAACAAAGATATTCTTTAGTTCTGACATTTCGAAAAAAAGAGAAGATTCCCTGTATTTCACAAAAATATCATTTATAACATTACATACAAATAATACTTTTTTAAATTTGAAAATAAGGGTAAACCTTTCATATATAGATATATATATATATATTCTGTAGCTGAATATGATCTTTCAGGTTTCATTTTTTTGTCTAACTAAAGAAATTTGTAAACACAATTGTAGCTCCGTCACTAGCTCATAGGCAGATAAATACTCACTGAAGAAGTACACTTGACAATCAGCATATGGGTAAACCAGTCCAATTTGACAGTACCAGACTGACGCATGAGATACACCTGATCCTCTGGTATAGGCATATGACCAGTCCCTCCTGCACAGTCCCTCCAAAGCAACACAATATATGAATGTTTAGAAAATCTTTGCATTTACAGAATGATTTGATGCATGTCTATTTGTGCTTGTCTCATAAACTTGTTATCAATAATAACTGGTACAATGCTGCTCACTGTCAAGCAACTGCCAGTTTCAGTAGCTTTGATCAATTGTGACTCATTATTGTTTTCATGATAGAGGGCGCAATCAAGGACATCTGAAAGATTTGTTACCTCTCTACAGACCCTTCATTGTAATGATGCACCTAGAAAACACATATTCCCCAAAAGGCATGACCACACCATTTACTTTGATATACAATAAAAACATTTGCAAATCCTTATGCACTTTATCAAGGAATTAGAGTGCTATGAAACTAATATCGAACAACAGCTAGAAAATATCTGTCCAAAACAATGAAAGATCTCACATAAATTATTATTATTGTTATTGAATTGAATTGAGAATGGTTTTATTGAAAATAAAAGAACAACAATGCATTGCTGCCTAAATGGCCGAATTGGGCAATGTTTTACAAATGTAAAATACAATGTATCAAAACATTCATATCAAATGACATCAAAAGTAATGAACTGAATGTGAATGAGTAAAATTGTATAAAATAATATTTAACTTAAAAATTCTTATTTCTTATATGATCTCCTTAACTCTTTTTATATAAAAAGGAGATAAGTCAAGAAGAACACGATGATGGTGTACAGTAAAGAAAGAAAAGAAAAGAGGATGGTAAGATTAAGAAGAAGATGAAGAGGAAGAAGAAGAGGAAAAAGTAGAAGAGAAGGAGGAGAAAGAAGAAGAAGAAGAAGAAGATTCAAGTGGATCGGATAAAAGGGGAGATGGTGTGACTCACTTCTTCTTGTCCTGACATCCATTGAGTATCATAGCACTGACGGCTTGCCATTCCTGTAAGATACTCTCAAGGGCATGACGACTGAATCGAGGTGGCTCGAGGTTATGATCAGGCATGTCAATGTCTGCAAGGAAAACAAACGGTGACAAATTAATGATAGTAATAATATGCTGTTCTGGTAAAGCGCATATCACATGATAAAACATATCTATACATTTCCAAAGGACTTTGGATATTATTACCCCAGCTTTAACTCTGGTACCCACTTAATTACTATACCTGGGTCGAGTGTGGCAAAGGTAGATTAATGTCTTGCCAAAGGACATTAAGGCCGCAGTGTGATTTGAACCCTGTACCTTGTGATTCACAGGCCAGAGAATTATCCACAAGACCACATCACCTCTACATTCATAGAAATACTGTATACATTTGTTTAATACTGTATACATGTAATGGTCATTTTTATTTTCTTCCTGTAAGGGACATGGAAAAATTCTGAAATCAAATTGTACTGTAATCAAAATTAAATCAAAATGTAACCAAATTAAACATGAAGAGAAAAAAAATTGAAAGCTAGTTATGACTATAATAATAACAATTGATATCCAGCGAAAAAAAAAACCCTTTGAATTACATAAATGTTTCGTTATAGTATTTATCATAATAAGGTGTAGAAAACAAGATCCAATAACAAAGGAAAATCTTGTTAATTGATAATCTCGCTGCTTCATTTTCAACAAATGCTTTTTCTTACATTTCAAAATAAGTTTATTACAATCTACTACAGCAGATTTATAAAATATAAATTAGTGCATTTTAAAAGTGATAAGAAAATCTGAGAAGGGTTTATAAAGCTCCTACCTGATTCATTCTTACGAGAGAGTCTGCTCCTTGACTGACGATACTGTCTCTGTTCTACAGTCTGACGAGCCACTGTCTGAGCTAAGAACAGCAGGATGTGATCTCCTCTAAAAATAAGAAGACAAATTATATATAAGTAGATCGTAAAGTAGACTGGTTGTTCTACTAGTGGTTTTAGAATAGACGATCCTATGGTTGCTTCTAAGTCTGTGTCCTTGGGTTTTAATCTCATGTACAAGGACCTTCCATAAACCTTGAATTCAAATGTCTCCCGGTTTCTTATGAACATACATTTAGTGGATAAGGGTTAAGTACAAATATGTGTGGCAAAAGGGCTAAAAAAACAGCATTTTGTTCATAGATACACTGCACAACGACATAATGGCAAACGCATATATTGATATACAGACAAAAGACATCAGAAATGTTAGGTCAGAGAGAGAAAGAGGGGGGGGGGAGAAAATGCAAGAGAGGTACATTTGGAATGAATGATTGGGATGAGAGGTGGGGTAAGTAAAAGAATGCTTACCTGCTATTAGGTATAGTGACCAAGTTGGTTTCATTGATAAGCCTATCAAGAAGTTCCATACGAGTGAAGATCTGTCCTGCAATCAGAGCTTTGCATTCACATTTCTCCCAGCAGTCACAGTAAGCCGTTGGGGATGTACGCTTCAATCTGTCAAACAGGTGCAAGGGTTTATTTAATCTCTGTATATTACTAATTTAAAGCTAACCATGGTAATATTATGTTTTGTATATGCCCAGACTTCCCACATATGTACCTTTTTATACAAATTTGAAGTGGTGTGTTGTAATGGGAAATCTGAAATACTGAAGTTGTCTCTGTCCAGTTGACCTCATTATCATGGGATTGTGAGACTGGATGTAACCATTGAAAGTTGTAAGTGCGCTTTTAGAAGCAACTATTGCTGAAAGATTTTGATGAAAATATCTTCGTTTAAAAGTTATGTGATGCCCCCAAGGTATGAAATTGTAAGAATACTATGATGAATAACTTACTTGCAGTCATGTCCTTTGTGGCAGATCCTGGCACACTCTGTACAGCAGCACAGTGGTCCTAGCAGACCACAGGTCCTACACTCAAAGATGTCCTGAGGGGAATGAAGCACATCATAACAATAAGGAATCAGTGATACCTGCACATTGTATTACACTAAATGTTATAGAGAGAAATCACGGCACATATGCAAATGAAACATGACAACTTTCTCAATTTTCTTTGAGTTTCAATTCCTATTTCAAGTATAATGGAACATTCAAACTGCTACTGTCAATATCACTCTTTAGCAAATGATGACAGAGGTGATGACAGTTGTGGCAGAAGCAGCTTCAACACATATGAACCAATATTTTCAGACTTTTTCATATGTTACCAGACATTTTGTAAATAGAAATGTCTAGATTGATAATGCTAGTTTATTATTGCTTCCTGGGAAGCTTATTAGGGAATTCCATCAATTTTAAGTAATTGTACCTGATTGATATGCTCAGTCCCAGTCCATGTGAAGCTACAGGTATCGTTACAACACAGTACATAGAGAGGTGATGAATCAGGATGACTACCAGGGGGAACACCATAGATTCAAACAGCTCCTTGTTAAAGCTAGCTGGCTGCTCTTCCCTCTTGTGGCTACCTCCCCCACCCCCACCCTGGCTGGTAGATTGAGTACGTGCAAGGGGCCGGCGGCGTGAAGCTAGGTTCTCGGTGGTGTCGAAGATGGTCAGGGCCACAGAGTAAGCTCTGATCTTGACGGCTGACATGAAAGGTGTATTGCCATGAGAGTCCCTGCAGTCATTGACAGAACATTAAACAAAACTAGTTACCTATTTATTCTTAATATAGCATTTCTAAAAACTAGTTTTGCAACCATTTACCGACATATCAAGGAAACAATCAATCACTCTACTTCCAAGCCCCTTTTTCTTTACTTATATGAATTTCCTAATGTTTCTTGGTACGAATATCAGTTACTACCAGAACCAAAAAAAAAAAAATGAGACAGTGACATCTGCTTGGTAAACAATTACTTCTAAAATACCACAATAGATCAAGACATCTACTTTTACAAAATCAATACTAGAAAGCTCCATCTATATCACCTACAACAATAAATTTGAGTAGAAAACAGGAAGTCTAGCTAACAAAAATAACCACATTATCATTTCTAATGATACAAAGAAATAAATTGACAACCTGGACCACTTCAAAGCTTCACTCAAAACTCACATCTTCCTTCAGACATTTAAATTCTAACTTTATTGAAAGAGCTAGCGCCTTTGAATGTTTTTTTTTTAAACAGATATATGGCGCCATACAAATGCTGTGAATCATTATCATCATCATCATCAAGGGTGCTTACTTTGCAGACAAGAAGTCTGGTAGCTTTTCAGTGAGAGCTGCAGCCTCACAGAGCAGCCGTAGGATGCTATGAGCATTGCTTCTACGTTCCTCTGGTGTCAGGGCTACTGCTTGGTTGTAAGACATACTGGTCGCTAAGGATGGTGGGTTGCTAGCCAGAGAGCTGGATGATCCGCCTACCGTTGCTGAGGTGCTTCCAAGGCTCAGATTATCCTCTTCTTGGTCTATACAATCAAAACATTGAATTACATCTTTCAGAATACTGGGGTGAATCAAAGGTGGTTTATTACATCTTCAGCTATCCATTTTTCTTCATATTTTTGCCAATCATTATTCTAATCAAAGAAATATCCATGAACAATGATTAAAAAGTTTGAATATAATGACTACAAAAAATGTGAAAAACAATCTCTCACTTCAGTAAATGTGTTACTATGGAAAGCTTTTGTGTTTCTGCACATTCCACACATTCCAAGATAATGTTCCTTTTAAACTGGAAACGGTTATCTCTTGTGCAATCTTTAGGTTCCAAGTTTGTCTCCAAAACGGTTCTTGAAATATAGCAATGAAGATATTGTGAAATGGGAAAAAATCCCCATAATACTGTAACCAAATTATTTTTCAGCAGCCCAATATTTATTGTCTGGTAATCTTACCCATATATAGCCCTGATGGTTCTGGAGGCCAGCTGAGTGTAGGTATTGGTGCCGTGGGGAGTGGAGATGAAGCAGAGTCTCGACCATCATCACCTGGTAAACTACTAGGTCCAGCTGGTTGGGCAGAGCTGCTGCTACTACGACCCATTACATCCCGCATAGCCATACTAAAATACACACAATAGAGGTGGAAATAAGTTGATGTTGTTCACAATGTTAACATGATATATTCCAATATCCTATTAAGGAACAACATCGTCCAAACTACCCTTCCTATTGCTCTCTGCTATGCCACAAAACTGCTTGCTCACTTGTTATGGTACTATACACACTGTAGCAACACAAGTCATGGGGTGTGCTATGATACATGTATCTTGCATGCCTTATGAACTAAACTCTTCAATTTGTTAAATAGGTGCTATTGCATTAGTATAACTCTTACATATTTTAATTTGCTGTAATTTTTTTAGAGTTTAGAGTAGGTCATATTGATTTAATTTCTTGTTTACTTGTTTGAATTTCCTGGAAAAACCATCCTGATTATTATTTTACCATGTAAATACTATGTAATGTATGTCTTCTGTTTTATCTATGTTATGAAGGGCCCCAAAGTATAACAGTATTTTAACTACCGATGAGGCTACCCTGTTGAAATAATACCAAATAAATAATTTGTCAACAATTTCATCACGTCTTACTTGCGAATGGTGACTTACCTGTGTGCACTAGGTCCGCTACTTGAAGCCATAGCAGCTCCTGCTATAGCATTGCTGAGAGTGTGAAGGGCGTTACATAACATCTTAGCTCGGCTGCTCACTTCAGACGTCAACGTAGCTAGGCTACTCGATTCTGCTCCTGTCATAGGTAAAAGTTTATAAGCATTAATATGAAGGATACTTTATTTATTCAATTCATTCATTCATTTATTCAATCTATCAATCACTCATTCATTCATTCAACATTTATTATTCATTTATTCATTATAATTCATTTATTATTCATTATTTAATTATTCATATATTCATTTATCTAGTCATTGTATACAGCAATAGATCCATAACAAATCAACATTGCCTGAAACAGGTACTTGTCAGAAGAATAGTTTTCTCACTTATAAGGCACACTGCATTACTGAAAGAAATTCTCCATGTATTGCATTGGAAATTACACTAAAGAATAGCCATAGTATTGTCAGCATCACATTGGTGAATTAGTTATTGGACTCATATGAGAGTGGAAAACAAAATAGTACCACAAGCATGAAAGATATTCCTCCTTCCATTGTACTTCTCTTCACTACATTCAGATCTGAATACCATAGGTGTTTATCAAAACAGCAATGCATAACGTATGAGTATCTTCTTACCAGTTGATGAGTTGTTGGTTTGATTAGAGAGTGGTCTGCATAGACTGACACAAGCATGGAAGATGTTTCTCCCTCCGTCACATCTCTCTTCAACAAGATGCTGAAGCTTCTGCTCCTTCACTAGTGGATCTAGAAAACAAACAACAATCATCAGAATCTTTCTTTAAAGCCCCACTACACTACTTATAGCTACTTGCGCCATCTATATAGCAAACAATGCCTAATCGGTGCCTGTTGTTCCCCCATGATCCCCTTTTTCTTATGTTAATAGAGAGCTGATTTGATGAGATAACCACCTGTCAGTGACCATGCAGGAAGGTCTAATCCCCCTGGCCAAACTAGAGCAGACGGGCTTTAAATTACTACCTTAAATGGTCTAAATAAAGTTTGAGATAAGTTGCAGCAAGTCATGTAATAGTAGGTTGACTTTTAATTGAAACTTAGTGCCTTTCTACAGTACTCACTAAGTATGAAACAGTTTTCAACTTATTTTTTTGATCTTCCTTTTCTTCATATCCTATACATTAACCCTTACTGTACTGGGGGGGGGGGGGGCCTGGGAGGCCCCCCCCCTCGACATTTTCGGAGATCGTGCCGCAACCGCTTGGAATTTTGAATTGTCGTTTCATGACTTTTTTCCCTCAAGTCTTGCGCACATTTTGATACCATTTTCGTCAAAATCAGATATACCTGTAAGGTGTTACATAACAATTAGTATGCGCATGTCAATCAAAAAAGTGCTATAATTGCATATATTCATGTACAAGCAGAAATGTGAAGATATGAATTGATATAAAATTGCTTTTATATGTTTCTCAGAGTAACTTGATGTATTCCAGAACAAAAGAATACATTAGAAATAAAACAATAGATATAATAAGAAATAAAAAACAATAAAATACATAAGAAAATAAATAGTAGAAAATCGCATCAAATTTGCATAAATTATCATTATTAATTACATGTACATCAAATAACTATTTTGTGTTAGAAAAGAAGTTTCATATGAATAATGAGTTTCAACATTCAAAAAGTGGAGTCTGACAATTTTTGTAATGATTCTAGTTCCCTAAATATAGTTCCTGATTTGATAGTCATGAATGCGTAATTTGCATATTCATAATTTATGCAAATTAACCTATGCATTTTCAAATATCATGAAAATAATGAAACCTCATGAATTTGAGATGAAGGAAACATTAATTCAATACATTTTCAAGATTCTTCACAAGTCTACGGACAAATATGTAGCATTTTCTGTAAAATGCATAAAATTAGCATTTTGCATAATTAATTAGGCTATAACGACAAAAATTTGCATATTAGGAAAAAACTAATTATACCATCTTGTTCCTTACGTAAATATCTACAAATATGCAAATTTTCGTGTTCATCGGACATTCGACGACCGAGATCATAGGGGGGGGGGGGGCCTCCCAGGCCCCCCCCCCCCCCCCCCCCCCAGTCAGAGGGTGCTCAAAATAGCCCAGTACAGTAAGGGTTAACAGGGTTTTAATGAGCGCATTTACAGGCAAAAGTCTGGAAAAAAAAGGTTCATAGAGGTCCACGGGGCAATTCCTGGGATGGTTGCAAAGAGGCGACTCTAACTTTGTTTCGCCTGTTTCGAAGATAACTTCTATACCTTTAACTGACACCTTTTCCATGTTTGTAGGGAAGTAATATTTGTTTCTACTTTATTAACTAAGAACAGAGAATACCAGAAATTTCAACTTGACTGAAATGAACTGAATGGAGAAGTCCTGAAAGAGATACAGCCAAATCTGTGTTGATGGGATTTCTTACTTGGTTCTAACTGAAGATTGCTGAGGAAGTGAGAGACTGCTTCATAATCACATCTCAGTACATGAGGCATTAACAGCTGGTTCTGTGTACAGAAAAGAAACAATAACAATTCAAAATAAACATTCAAAGTCCACAAAAATTCTAGTAGCCAAAACCAAAAGAGTTGACTATTGCTAGAATTGCTAGAATATGTCTCAATTATTGACAAACAAGTTTGTTTTTTTGGTTCATGTTGAACAGTTTTTCTCATTGAATCCTGTGGTAAAGTAACACAAAATTTGATGGTGTATCTGCTTCTTCTAAATTCTGATGTTTTCAAAATCATCTGATGATAGTAATGAAATGTTGACATTCATTGACCAGAGATGGGGAGAACAGGGGCGAGAGATAGAGAGACATCACAGGGAATGAGGGCAGAGAGAGAGAGAGAAAGAGAGAAGCATCAACATACCTCTATGGCCATGACCATGATAGCAGCTTTGTTCTTGATGTTAGTAGACTGTCCAGGATGAGGGAGATGGTGCACACCGATGCTCAGACTGCGTATGGGTGGAAGATCTACCCAGTTAGGATCTCTGATAGTCACAGTAGCAGTCTTAGCCAGGGGATACAAGGTGTTGTTCCCATCTTGGAGAAGAGTCACAGAATCCTGAATAAAACAAAGTTGGTTTAAAATCAATACTTGTATTTGTGATTGAGCAAAACTGTCTAATCTAAACCTTATTCACCATCTGAGATCAACTACAACAAGTCTCTGTATATACATTATGAGCAGTGGATATGAGATATACTTCAATTGTAGAACAAGACAATAGGTTTGCATACATTTTGCATAAATTCTCTTCAACATTTAAACAACGAGAAATATGTATCATTCTTTTCAAGAACTTTCAATACAAACCAAGTTGCAAAAAAAAAAATAGCATTGCAAGCCTATAATGATTCATGGTTGGGAAAAACACAAAATAAATATGAAATAAACCTGGAAAAGGTGTTGTCTCTTTGACACTATCCTTACCTTGCCAGGGTTGTGCAGTCTGATGTTATCAATGCTCTTTCCCATGAAAGCATTGGTGTCTGTAGGAAAGGGACTCTCTGTTGTAGGTCGACTGGAGCATAGCTCATAGAGCTGGTACAGGAGCTCTGATCTCACCTTGACAAGCACATGGACACCTGATAGAACAAAGACAACATCAAGATATTCACTCTTTGTAATCCAAGGTGTTTATAGTGTAACATACACAGCCTAATGTGTCAAGTTTGCTGATATGGACATCAGTACACACTCAAAAGTTTCATTGCATAGTGCATTAAAAATATGTGTTAAAATAAAAGAAACAAATTTACAACCATGTTTGAAGATTGGACCACTTGTGTCTACTTAAAAATAGTTGAATAAAAAAGGGATCTCTAGAATAATTTGAAAGCTGTAGATAAAACAGCTTTTTCAAGAACCCAAAATATGAAACACAAGCTCTACATTGAGTGGCAAACATACATTTAAAGATCATATTCAGCAGGTATACCTAATAGATTAAAGTGAGTGTACGTTCATTCAAGGATACAACTATGTCAATACTATACCTCTAAAATCAACAGACACAGCAAGGATCTGTCCACTTGAAGGGATATTGAGTTTCTTGGGTGTTCTCTGGAAACAATCTGGCACCTTTGGTCCTGAGCCCTGCTTCACAATCTAAAAAGAAATACAATCAAAATATATAATTGATGAGTCAGCTGGTGAAATCCCTTTTGGCAAGAGCAATTTCAGTTAAATATAATTATTATCATTATTATTATTATTATTAACAAACGTGATTTAAAATAGTTCTATGACGCATTCAAAATACACATGTCTCTTATCATTTCTAGGCTCCATGTCAAACTACTAATTTAAACCACTATGAGGATTTTTTTCACAATTCTCAATACAATTGTTATTCTTATTCATTGCAACCAAATAAATACTAGTTTCCTATGAGGTCTTGTAGTGATTGAGAAACTTTTGCAAGTACCTGAAGTTCATCTTTGCGAAGTAGTCTGCAGTCTTGTAGGAACGAATCAACATCCCCTGAAGACTCGGTGTTGGAATCTAGAGTGGGGAACTTCACTGCAGCATAAGCACCATCAACCTGAAACATCATTTGATAGCAAATAGAAATGAAAATAAATAATGATGTGTATTTTATCTATCTTAGCTGGATCTAGATTCACATGGTGAAGATCTAGTTCCTTGGGTTAATTAGTGGGAAAACAAAGTCAATTTTTTGTGGGTTTTTTTTAGTCAGTGATTTAAAAAAAACTCTTTGCTTATGCTCAGGTAAAAAATAATAAGAGTTGACAGATGCCAAACCTCTGAATTGTAATGGTAATTTTCAAAATTAAACTCTCTGTCCACAGTATTGACAGATCATATCATGACCAATTCCATGGAATTCGTCTTCCCAACAGAGGTCACATTTTGGTATCTCATTGCGATGGTGCTACTTAATAAAGTTCTTACCTTTAACACCTTTCCAATAGGAGCTGAGCGTATATCTTCTACAAAAACGACATCAGTCAGAGCCCACACCTCAATGTCATTCTTCTCTACTTCTCTAGCTGGAGACGACAGAGGGCGCTTTGATCCCCTCCCTAGGAATTGAAATGAATATGAAATTATGAATAAATTATATGAGACAAATCTATAATAAATTGTCAAAATCAGACCTTTAATCGTCTTACCTTTTGGTTTCATTAAAATCATGTTTTTGTATAGGCATGCATAAAAATTCCTCCTAATTAAGATGCATTCTTCTAGAAACAAAAGTACAAAAAGGGAAAAAAGAAAATGGCTCAAACATTATTTGACAGACTTACTGTGAGCAGCTGGACTTGATACGATGGATACATCACTACTGGTAGAAGCAGGTGAAGGTGGTGGTCCCATTTCTTGCTTCACATCTAGCCTATTAGCATCCGTCTTAGCATCTCCCTTAGCATCTGCTTTCCCCCCATCTCCCTTCATTTCCTCCTTGGTCTCACGGCTGGCCTGTGAGGTACCAGCGGAGGGTACAGCGGCACCGGCAGAGGTACCACTGGTGGTGGTGGTATCACCCAGGTCCAGGGAGGAGCGACGTATACGGAACCGGCAGGTGTCAGTCAGGTGCCAGGCGGTGTCCATTAGCTGGCCGACCCGTGGTGGGGCACTCTTTACGTTGAAGGCCAATGCACCACAGTGGTACATGGGGCAGCTACGCAGGCAAACCTACAGAGATAAATTCAAATTTGAAGTGAGCAAATTTCTTTTCAACGGTTTGGGTCAAATGGAGAAAAAACATGTAAATTAAGATTATGGCCCATTTTCTCTAGTGTCCTTTACTTTAATAGATAGGCCCACTCGGTCATATCTCTGATGTATTTCCAGAAAGAGCTCATAATTTTGTAATAAGTTTACTGATCAAAGTCATTAGACAGAGAGAGAGAGAGACAGACAGAAAAGGATGGAGAGAGAGAGAGAGAGAGATAAACAATAGAGAAAGGAAGGGAGAGGGGGGGAGGGGGAGAGGGAGAGGGAGAGGGAGGGGGAGGAAGGGGGGGGGGGGGGGGGAGGAAGGGGAAGAGGGAGGGAAAGAGGGAGGGGTCTATGGAGGTTCCTTACCTGTGTACCAGCAGTCAACAATGATGATGCCATAGCTTCACGTTTCTTAGCTCTAGCTCTATCTCTAGCCTTCTCCAACACCTTACTCCTCAGTGCCAATGGTAACACACCCCTGAAAACAAACACAAATAGCAATCATCAATTCATGCTTGGAATCCTTTTCTCATAATTCTGCACTATTGTACCCATGTAAAAATGATCCTACACGTTTACATAGCATAAGCATATAAAATTGAAATACAAAACAAAACAAAAATAGTTATCTACAATGATTCAACATGATCATTAATAAATTTAAGAACAGTCAGCATTTGAAAACTAGGAAGTGCATGTGTTTTGAAACATATTTACTCTTACACTTTTTCTTCTAGTCAAATCTATAACATCAGGAGATTTTGTACATCAAAGTTACAATCACTCCGATAGTTGAATCGTCCAAAACATGAAAACAAACTGAAGAGAAGAGTTCCTAGACTTACCACCAGTAGATGTGTCCAGACTCCATCCATGTGCAGGTGTACAAAGCACAGGTGTGAATGGACACAACTTTATCACAAGCAAACTCCTGATATAAAGTGGCTGGGTGCTCAAGTCTAGATGCTATGGGTGATAGAGTCTCATCTATCATTGTTGCAATCTGTTTGATAGGTAGAATAGTTTGTACGAAGAATTATTGATCCTTATCATATCAGACTAACCTTTCCTTGTAATATTCAAGCAGAGGAACCATTTTAACATAAATCTCAGGGGAAGGATCCTCGTCAATCTCTCATTAGCTTTACCAAGCTCTATTAATTTTACAGGCCTCTATCTGCAAAAGTCTGCATAATTTTAGGAGGCTGATAGCAAGAATTAAAATGTAAGGCATTGTAACTGGAAAACAAGGATTGCCTATAACTAGTATTTTCACATATCCTGCAACATAATCTTTAAAGTCCACTCCAAATTTTATTAAGTTTAACCGAAAATGAAAATTCTTTTTGCCCAATTGATCGTGAGCCCGGCAGCCACTGAGCAGCACCAGATCGACGTTGCTCTATCCCTTATTGTTGAATGCCAAACAAGGTAGCAGCAACTCCCGTCTTTTAATTTTGGTATGACGCGGCCAGGTTCGAACCGACGACCTCTCGGTTGTGAGGCGGACGCTTTACTGACTGAGCCAACACACCGGTATATACATATTGTTGGTTCTCTGTGAATAGATGTATTATGGCCCTTACCTTGCCAGACTCAGTGAGGATAGCTAACTTCTCAAAGCAGGTAGCTATCTGGGATATCTTCTCTCCTACTAGACCAAGGAATGGAACCTTAGGATGATGTACTCCAGTGTTCTATACATGGAAACAAAGCAGAAAAGAAAGAGAACCTTGGTGAAGTACAGTATTCTGACACATAAATAAAAGAGGCAGAATAGGTCCTAGCGGTCCTTTATCATCTTTATCATGATGCATAGCAACAGGTTGAGACGAATTCCAGCAAATAAGAGATTTGTAACAGCCTAATCACACAGGAGTAAAATTCTTTGAAGCTGATTAATTTAAAGAGCTTTAAATTAATCAGCTTTAGATACAAAATCATTGACACAGTAGGGCCATTGCGCATTAAATGCGCAATGGCCCTACTGAGCGTTTAAAGAGCAATGCCCGGTCTTGGCTCCGCCCAGTTAAGGACGTATATCCGTTCACACACAAAATGTCGCTATCTAGATACAAACTTTGTATCTGCAGCCTGCTATAAATTGCGACTTCGTATCGCTGCGAACATCGTATAAACGACGTTAAACAAAGGGAAAATTTACTTCAAAGCTGTTTAGTTAAACAGCTTTAAACTAATCAGCTGTAGACGCGATGAATTTTACCCCTGTGTGAAAAGGCTGTATTAAGTATAACAACAGTAATGTATTAAAATATTTTATGAATTCACCCCACTATGCACACTGCAATGCTTGATGTGTTCTTACCTCAGGATTCTTGTATGGTTCAGGTTCAGACCATTTCCATTGGTAGATATGACCATTCTGTCCTACAGCTATCAGCTCAGAATACATAGCACCAATGCTTACAAACCGTGGTGTGTCTTCACCCTAATAAAACAAAACAAGTTAAAAAACAGTGAAGAATAGGAATCAACTTTTTAAACATTTACTGCTTTCAAATTGACTGCTTCGAACATCAATAAACAAATTTTTAGTATTTGGGGTTTAAAACATGTCATGTACTGTTACATACAATTTTCATCAAGTCATATGAGCATATGAAAAATGCTTATTTACTGGCTCTAAATCTACCATTCAGGATTAATGCCAAAGTGATTAAATCAAAAAGTGGAAAATACTATCTTATGTGCACTACAATTTAGTTGCTGTGTAAATAGAAAGAAGGAAAGAAAGAAAGAAAGAAAAGAAGTGGGAAATGTCTTAGCCACACTACAATATATGTTGCTTTTTGTGAGGAGGGGGTGTCAATTTTTGTCAACAGCCCACCTTTTCTGCTGACCACCATTCCAAGTCCTCTCCAATGACCACCGGATTCTGGCTGTGTCCAGCTGCACCACCACGTCTGCTGTCCGATGTCCCTGCTGCCTCCGAGCTACCAGCTTTCATGTTACTAGCTCCTGATCCGGTATCACGCAGTACAATCTCAGGCCAGCGCCGCTCACGGCTACGTAGCAGAGGATCTCTCTCGGCATCGCGCTCACGATCTACATAGATATAAGGTAAACATTGGTGGACATCAGAGTTGCTTTGAATAAATGCAGACAATTATGAAAACAGGCTAATGAGTATAAGGATAATATTTATATTACATTATATGACACTATGAACTTTTGAACAAGAACAGCACTCTATCAATGATGCCAGCTCTTCCTACCGGTCTTTCTAAATAAAACATGCATCACTTCATTTTTAAGCAATCACAACAACTTGTATGTTTTGATACAGTTTTACGAGGAACATGGATATATCAAAAGACATCTCTGCCATATACCATATTCCTGCAAGAAAGATTTATTGATGGTTTACCTCTACTGCTGGAGCCTCTGGCTCTAGATCTTGATGGAGGAAGTCCAAGGAACTCCTCTGAGAACATGGCATCAGCATCAATGATGACACTAGGATGATCAGAATGGATGCCACCATCTAAGAGTGAGACCAAATCATCACCACCAGACAGGTAGGTATCATTATCATCAGGATCTTCACCATCTTCATCATCACGACTCAATAGGTTGTTCACAGCCAGGTTCACATCAAGGTTCTGTTCAAAGACAATGAAAACAAAGGTGTCACTATTACTGCAATCCTCATTATCATGGTTGTGAGGCTGTTGATAGCCTGGTTGTAATCAATCATTCAATCAGTTTAAGGGCTGAGCAACTGTAGTGAACAACCATCATCTAAAAAATGATTCAGCTTTTCCTTTTTTTTGTTTAACAAACAAACCCCAAACACAAACATAAAATTCAAGAAATGAGGAATTTGAAGTATCATATACAGTGGCAAAAACACTGTCTAAAGTTCTACTTAAATTCACTATTGTTAGTGGTTAGCTATGCTCTTCTTGGTTTATTTAAATCGTTGAATTTTACCTCCAAATTTCCAACCTTGTTCTTCCATAAACTTGCATGGAGGAAAGCTACTACAAGTCATGTCTGAAAATACGGCATTTACAAAAAGAGGAGAAAAACAAGATCTTCAGTCAATTTGTAGAGTTTAAACTAGTGTATTATCTATTTGTTGCCTTAGCATTTGTCCTACAATACTTACTGTCCTTTGGAGCTCTCTGATGATGACTGATCTGCTTTTGCCTTGTAGGACTACCTGTGCCTGGGACACTAATTCTTCAGGGACAACAGATGCTGGGACAACTGGCCTGGTACCCACTATGACGCCACCACGACCTCGAGAGTGAGCACGGATGACTCGGCCTCGGTTGCGGGATGCACTCGAGTTGTTGTTTGATGTTGTGCGGTTAGACGGGGTACGGCAGTTAGAGGACCATTTCCTAAAATTCAGGAAATTAAAAAAAAGTTTTAAAGAGGATTTTCAAAGAGATAAAAAGTCTCCAAAAAAAGTCTCAAATGCACGAGAGGTAGTAATGCACACGTTAAACACGTTAAAATTCTAAACAAACACACAAAGTAGCTTACCCTGGCTTGTCTTCTTTTAATTACCAGATAGGACATTGTACTTTTACATTCATTTAATCAATGCTGGGTGAAGAACACAAATTCTTTGAATTAAATCACTTATGCTTCTCTTTGATATCACAGAGTCAGAGAGAATGTCATCTTCAGGAAAACTTACAGGGCCCTGTCTTACAAAGAGTTGATATCAATAGCAACTTATTTGCAATTGATATCGATCGCAACTATGTACATAAGAGATACAGTATTGCTTGGAATAAAATTAACAGTCTCACACTGTGTCACGCGTGACTGCATGTATTGTTCCATAGACTTTGGTGTGACTTGGTGGTAATGTGTCTACTTTATTTCAAGCAATACTGTAGGTGACTGCAAACTTGCGATTGATTGGAGGACTTGCGAGTGATTTGGATCAATCGTAACTCTTTGTAAGACGGGGCAATGCTGGAATACAGTACATCCTCAAGAATTTTTGAAAGAGAAGATTTTTGAATTCCTACCCTGATGAAACTCCTGAGGGTTCATCAGCATTGATGAGCCATGGGTTAAGTGGATTGGTGGGCCTTGATGATGAAGATGACAATGAAGAAGAACGATTAGAAGATAACTGGGCAGATGATGTCCAACTCTTCTTGCTGCTGCTAAAGAAAAAAAAAGGAAAGAAGATAACATGTACATCTTACATGTAACACCTTTAATAAAAGGCACATCATATAATTATATGACGCTAAAGGAAAATTTATTTTCAAATGGCAATCTGAATCTTTTTTCCTATTTATATATTATGGCTGCTATTTTTAATATTTTTAATAATAATCCATAGTAATATAGTTATGAATCATGTCACTAATTAAAATATAAATATATCCGTAGTTCTCAGAAATCAAAATTATTGACACTGTTTTTTATTTTTTGTTTTTATTGAGTGCTTTCAAATCATGTTCTGGCAAGGGTGAATTTCATTAAATCAAATAAAAATTGAAGATCTGAAACCTTACCTCTTGGTGCTGTCATTCTTGCTTGGACCACTGTCTACTTTCTCAGGGTTGATAGAGAATCCCATGCGACATATACGTCCATCCTAAACAAGGAATCATACATACATACATGTAGGTGCATGTAACATTACAGTTCCATGTAAATACATGACAGAGGTAATATCATCTTTATAATCATCACCACCACCATCATCATCATCATTATCATCATCAACAGCATCATCACCATCACCATCACTGTCATCATCAACAGCATCATCATCATCATCATCACCAACATCATAATCATCATCATCATGTATTTGAACTACTTTCAGATGTAAGCATGGAGCTCTCTCTTATATAGCTCCATGATGTAAGTATACCAGGCTATATTTACATACATTGATTATCAGTCTTGTACAGTTTGATGGAATATCTGTGGATTGACAGAAAGAACAGTTCATGTACCCTATTTAAGTATAATTATCTTACTTCACAACTCTATATTTCAGACATTCAAGGTAAAATACACAATTTCAAAAGCTAAGTGAAAGTGCACAAGAGAGAGAGAGAGAGAGAGAGAGAGAGAGAGAGAGAGATAAACATATAGAAATATAGATAGACAAAAGAAGGCACAGATAGACAGGTAGAAGAGATGTCATCATACTTACCTCTAGAAGGAATGCAGCATGGTTTGGTCCTACAGTTATGCTTTTCACTGGAAGGTTCTTGAGGGGCAAAACTCCTGAAGCACTGAATAATTTAATTGGAAATTGATAAGATTAAATCACCATTATGCTGATCATGCAAGTGAGCAAATGTCTTTGTTAACAAGTACATAGACAGTCTTGACAGCCCAATTTGAGAGATAATAGCTTTTATAAAATAATGCTTTCTATTACAGGTGATATATATGTAGCCCGAAGTACAGAAAAAGAAAACATTGGAAAGATGCCAGATTATTATTTTGTGTTTAATTAAGTAATGACTGGCTCACTCGATCCCAAACCTAAATGGCATCATAGTGTAAAATAATTCTTGCCCATGTAAGAACGAATCTGATACATGAATCTAACTTCCAAAAGAAAATAATTCAGAATATCAAAGGTCAGTGTAACTTTGGAGTTAGGACCAATAATGAAAAAATGTACCCCTCCTCCATATCACTCACAAAGTCATAGCATCTAATAAACCCTGCACATTCAAGATAAACAGTCATTAGGATTTGTGTTTTTTTTACCAGAAGAGAATTTGTATACAAATACTTACCATGGTGCTGGTTGTTTATACAGCTTCTCAGATAACTCTCTCAATCTGTTGTAAAAAAGAAAGAAATAAAGGGCATGTAATGATCTTTCACTCATCTTTTAATTTCTTTTTTCTATTTCACATTTTGTTGAGAGAATGACGTGTGTGGGGTACTTGTACATTATATGCAATAAGGCTGTGCACAACAGTGTAATGAGGTACCCGGGTACACTCCCAGGCTTACAAGTCAATACTCAAACATTCGGACGTCATGTTTTTTATAATTTAAAAAAAAAAAAAATTGCCACCACCATACCACTGGAGCAGTATCCTTGTCTGCGCTTATGCAAATTTGCGTTATTCTAATAAAATAAAACAAGTAACACAATATATCCGTTCCTATTATTAATATGCCCATATTTTTTGTTGGGAAAAAACAAGTGAAAACTTGTGAGAAATGTCTAGTTTTTTAACACTTTTATTCACAAGTCTTGAAGTTGAAATGATGGACGTTCATGTCAAATATTCCGAACTGCATATTAAGTGAATAGTCTAGGTGTGCAGTGATGAGTTTGAGGGTCTTAGAATTGGTAGATACTCATGATAATATACGAGTCGGCAGTCAGGTTTGTGATGGTAGACATCTTGTTTATTCAACCACAACGGATACCGGATATTCAGATATCGCATATCGTAACATGCAGAAATGGGAACCTCTGACCTTTGTTTTTGCCATGTCAAAATGATTTTGTTCTTGTCTAAATTGACACACGTTTTGGCACATTTACTCTTTAGATAACAAGGATTAATATCAAAGTAAGTATTGGGGGAATTTAAAAGAAAATTCTTATCAATTTCAAATATCATTTAGGTGCCAGACATAGTCTAGAGCTCTCCACCATGCATAACGTTCATACTCGATTCAATTTCTTTCCCCTTTTCAGTTTTTCTTTCTTATCTTCAGCTTTCAGGATCAGTCAGCTGTTCTGTTAGAGTTGTATGGGTCTACATAAATGGTTATCCATCATCTAACTGCAACTCTTAATAAATACAAACTAAATTCTTGAACCATGAGATATGTTCCAACTTTTGTTTTGCCAAATTGTTTTTTTCAATCTCATTCTCATTTTGAAAAATGTTGGAGTTGGACACAATCACACTCACATAATGTTTTGATTCACGCAGCAAACCCTCCATTTGGAAGAATTGTAATGACTTACATAGACAGAAAAAACCTTAGAGGGAAAGAAACAGAAAAAGGTCGAACTAATCTGGACCCAAATTTCCCTAGTGCTTCGGCACTTCTTTGTCGAGTTTGAATCGGTCATAAATTACACGTCAGACAAAACGCAGATTAATACGCTTGGGACTACCCGCAAGTGGCGAAGTCTAACATCGTGCCATAGAAATGTCCGAGAAAATTGCATAAAAACAACCTTACCTGTCATTCAGTTGGTCTTCTGTACCAGGTAATGGATGAACGACAAAGTGAACAGTAGTCATCTTGGAATTTCGAGACATCTAAAACTACCAAAATGATAAATTTACGAATTTAACACCGAACAAATGTATCCGCATCGCATAATTACTTTTTTTTTTCTGCCATTAGCATGCGAAGTAACGGCGATATTCATTGGCTGTTTGGTAGCCGGATAGGAAGGTGCATTCGATTGGTGCATGCAGGCTATAGGAATAGAAGTTGTGGTAAAAAAAAGAGGATTTCTTATGATGGTGATTCTGACAATTAAAACAAAGACATTATCAAGAGTTATTATAAAAGTATGAAAAATTAACGTTAAAAAATGTAATCAGATACATAAATATGCATGCGGATAGAGAAATCGAATAATTTCGAATTTATTGAGATCCAAGTTTCCCGTAAGGATTTTTGTTAAATTGTCAAAATATAGATCTATATGCTATTTAATATAATGGCAATTTTAATAGTTTATCTAATTTAATTCAACTTCAAAAGAAAGTTAAAGTGTATGAAATTAATTATCTTTGTAACCTAGTTGTCTGAATGTCTTCATATTTCATTTAAGAACAAATATAACTTGAGGCTGCCGGTGGAAAAGGAAGGCCGGGACGAGAATTGGTCTAAAAAGCCAATTAGGTTTTGATGATGAAAAAAACTGTGATAATGATTGATTGATTGATTTTATTCGACAAGCTTCCAACCACTGGCGTACCTATGGGGGGGGGGGGCAGGGGGGCAGAGTGCCCCCCCCCCCTGACGGGCTCCAGGAGAAAAAAAGAAAAAGGGGAAAGAAAAGAAAAGAAAGGAAAAGGAAAGAAAAAAGGAAAAGGGAAGAAAAAAGGAAAGAAAGAGAAAAAAGGAAAAAAAGGAAAGAAAAAAGGAAGAAAAAGAGAAAAGGAAGAAAAAGGGGGAAAAAAAGGAAAGGAATAAAAATGGGGAAATTAAAAAAAAAAAAAAAAAAGACCATGGCCGTACGCACCAGGGGGGGGGGGGGGGCAGTTGACCCCAGATATTTTGAAAACGTACAGTTTTTTTCCTGAAAACGTAGTGTAGGCCTATACCAAATCCTTCAATTCTACTTTTGAAAATGCAAAAGTACCCTCATGACCAGTTCGGTCGCTCGAACTCCCTTCACTGCTTTTGCTTTTGAGATTCTTCGAAAACTTTTAACGCATCTTTCCCCCTCCCCCACCAGAAAAATATTCCGCATACGGCCCTGAAAAATTAAAACAAATGAAAATAGGAAAATATAAGTGATATAACAAATTTGAAACTCTTCGCTGGCGCGAACTGCTTGCTAGCCTATTTTGTATTAAATGTTTTCACTTGCTCGTCCCCCTGAAAAAAGAAAAGGATTAGTATTGCCTAGAATACAATTGTGCCTGCCCCGACGGGCCCCGACCTGCAACCATGGCAACAATAACACACAATATATGTACCAAATGTTACTAAAAGAGACTAATTCATTTTTCTCGCTCGTTACACTCGCTCACGAATAAAATGAATCAACATTGCTTTGGAAACAATTGTGCCCACCCTTGACCTGCAACAATATCATTAAAAATGGAAGAGTTTTTTCGCCCTCTCGCCAAAAAGGAATTGAATCGCGTTAAACGCGATTGCGTCCATCCTGACCTGCACCAATAAAAACAAGTTTATTTATTAATTTCTATTAAAAGAGAATATTTTTTTTGCTTGCTCGCTATGCTCGCTGGCCAAAATGGAATTGACACTGCTATAACGTGCCCGCCCCAACCTGCAATAACTAGTTAATAATTATGTACCAAACGTTATTCAAAGAAGTTTTGGTGTTCTCGTGCTCGCCAAAATGGAATTAACATCACCTTAGACATGATTGTGTAAGCCCTGCCCTGCAACAAAAAAATCTGAAATTTATGAACCAATTATCATTACAAAATTTTTGCTCGCTCGCTACGCTCGCTCGCCAAAATAGAAATAACACCGCTTTTAATAATCACGTCCCTGACATGGAACAATGAACCCAAGTTTATATACCATATTTTCCCTATAAAAGAGAAGTGATTTTTTTTTGCTCGCTCGCTACGCACGCTCGCCAAAATAGAAATAACACCGCTTTTAATTATCACGTCCCTGACATGGAACAATGAACCCAAGTTTTATGTACCATATTTTCCCTATAAAAGAAAAGTTTGTTTTTTTTCGCTCGCTACGCTCGCTAGCTCGTGCAATTATGTGCCCACCACTAACCTGCTACAATATCAATAAAAAGAGAAATGTAGGGGGTTGCCTGCCCGCCAAAATGGGATTGACATTACCTTAAACACGATTGTGCCCGCCCCCTACCTGCAACAATGAAACAAATTTTATATAGCAATTCATTGAGAGAAAGATGTATTTTCGCTCGCTAGCTAAAATGGGTATAAAATCACCCTAAACACAATATTGTTCCCGCGCCCTGCATGGGACAATTGAACCAAGTTTAAGTGGCAATTTTTAAAAACGAAGTGATTTTTTTTTCTTGCTCGCTACACTCTTTTGCAAAAAAATGAAATTAACGTCGCTAACAAGTGAATGTTCCCACCCCCAACTTGCAACAATACCAGTTTATATACCAAACGTTACTTAAAGATTTTTTTTTTTGCTCGCTCGCTCGCCAGAAGTAAAAATTAGCATTGCCTTTTTTGTTTGTTTCGGTCGCTTGCCCCCCCTGACGGAGTACCCCAGGTACGCCACTGCTTCCAACATACTACAATATACAATAATAA